TATTTTAGATAAAATTTGAAATAGGTTAACCGACTTTAATGCACATGGTTTGATGCGAGTTTCTGCAATTGTATGGGGTTTAATTTTTTGTAACTTCAAGAGCAATTTCATATGATGTCGTAATTATAGCTTGGTTTTATTGTTGAAAGTCCCAGCAAAATCTAACTTTTGTTTTTTTCAAGGCAGTTTCATGTCGTTTAAAAGTGCCTCTGGAAGACAAATTGTAACTTTTGTTTTGGATCAAACAACCGGCGACTCACCATTAGGAACCATTGTTATATAAATTAATTATATATTGAATTATTGTAGTAAAACAAAGCAAAATAAAATTTATAGTGGAAATAAATTGAATCTATAGAAACTGAATATAAATTTTGTATAATTATGTATTGATATTATTTAAAACAGAACACGCATTTCCTTTAGAATCAATAATTAGAAAATGTAAACAAATAAATGGAAATTTTACAGGATATCCATAGTTTTGTAAAAGGTTTTTGTTTCTTTAAAATATTTTCCAATGTAGAAGTGAAATGTTGTTCTACTTCAAGATTGTTAATTATTTATTTGTGTATTTTTGTGTTTATATATTATATCTTCTATAAAGAATTCCATTCTTAGTTTTATTGATAATACGAAAATTTATTTAATTATATATAATGAATTAATTTTATTTACAAATTTTTAATAATCAATAAAATTGAGAATGAAATTCTTTATAGAAGATAGAATAGATAAACACTTTTTTTAATGATGTATATCATACATTGAACCATGTCATTAAAAGCAACACAATTTATTCCTTTAAAAATTAGAAAATTTGATGCATTTTGAAATGGAATATTCTATGAAAATTTCCATGAATTTTATTCCAAGCAACCGCTTCCGCATATCACGTAGTTAATATTGAACGAAAGTGTTCTAAAAACACTTGTCCCTCTGACGAGTGGGTCGATGACGCATGGCATTCTTGAAGGTGACTGGAACGCGTGTAGAGATGTGCATTCACCTCCTCGAACTCATCGAATCCTGGTATTTTTGAACGACCACGTGCTTGATTTGACAAGTCCACACAATGTGAGCATGACAGGAAAACAGGCGTGACTTCTCCATTCTATAACTACTATATAAACAAACCGTACGGGTAGGGAACTGCAACAACAAAAGCTTCCGCAACCAATTGGATTTGAGAGCAGGTATCACCATGACGAGCGCAGAAAATATCGACGCTTACTTTGATTGTGTCTTGGGATTAACAAAGATTGCTGGAGAGGTGAGAAATATTTGAAATAATACCGATTTCGAGGTTACATTGCTTATTTGCAGTAGCAATATAATTAATTATTAAACATTCAAGTTGTCTTTGATCAAATTTTTTAGATATAAAGAAAGAAATTTATTTTTGTTTTGGTAATCTATCATAAAAATATAAAAATTGGGTCATACAAAACAATATTTGGTTTCACTGCTAATGACATTAAATTGTATAATCAAATTATTTTAAATATGTTCATATATTTTAAATCGAACTATTTTGTTGTCCCTTGCACGTTTTTGCATATATATGTATATTTTACCTTAATAAATTGATAATATATTGTATTCATTATCAAATTTATAGTAGATGAAATTATGTTTTTATATGAAATTTATAAATTGTGTTTAAAAAGAACATGTATTAATGGTTTTCAATATATTTATTGTGTACTACTAAAATGTTTACAAGGTGACTTTGATAAACTTGTTTTTAACAATGTCCATCAAAATTTTCCTAAGGTCCAAAATAAATTAATAATGGTTATAAATAGTTAATGCATTGTTATTCTTGGAAAAATTTTCGTATAAACAAATCATGATGTTAGAGCAATGTTTAGTTTAGTTGGCTTACATTCAACATATTTGTATAATGTTTTCCTACTTAAATTAATTAGAGGAATGTAAAGTTTCTTATTTATTGTAAATAAAAGTAAATCAATTCCTAAAATAATATAATTTTCATTACTTTTTACATAAATTTATTAATTAGTTAATGTTTATGACATTAAATCATAAATACATTTTCCTTATTTTGATATATACTTACATTATATAACGGTCGAAATTTATAACATCTTATTTTGTGTATTGCCGATTTATCCTTTTCCAATTGTGAAATACAAACCCTCTTCGTATTCAAATACTCGGGCATTTACGATTACTTGTGAGGCAAAAAATTGCTATATTGTGTAATATCTATTCGTGTTTAGTAACATATGGTAATAATTAATCAATAAATCTTCGATTTCTGCACCATGAATTTTGTTTTGACATTAACGAATATTTAATTAACATCTTGTTTGAATTGCAAAATGACACTCAAATAAGCATATATTAAAGAATTCTCATTTTAATAATAAATGACTATTTGTTTCCGTTTTAGTTAATACGAGAAAAAGTCAAAGCTGGGGTTAAGGTAAACACCAAAGATTGCGATATAGATTTAGTGACGGAGACGGATCAGGAGGTCGAGAAATTGCTCATAAATGGCTTGAAAACAAATTTTCCTAGCCACAAATTCATTGGCGAGGAGACAGTGGCCTCCGGTCAGAAATGCGAACTGTCCAATTCCCCAACGTGGGTCATAGACCCTATCGATGGTACCATGAATTTCGTGCACGCCTTCCCTCACTGCTGCATTTCAGTAGCACTTTTTATCGATGCTGCCCCCGTTATTGGCATCATCTACAATCCAACGCTCGAGCAATTATTCACCGCCAAGAAGGGACAGGGGGCATATCTGAACGGTGAAAAGATTCACGTCTCAAAAGTAGCGACAATGAACAAGGCGCTACTTATGATGGAAAACGGAACGAGCAGGGAACCTGAAAGGGTGAAAACAGTTTTCGCCAATCATCAAATACTTATACCGAAGTTACATGGGTAATGCGGGTATTCCTTTATTCATAACATATCACTACATGATTTTTTTTTGTTCAGGACTCGCACTTTGGGATCGGCAGCCTTGAATATGGCCATGGTGGCTATGGGAGCAGCAGATGCCTACTTCGAATTCGGCATCCACATTTGGGACATTGGCGCGGGTGAAATCCTGATCACGGAAGCAGGAGGTGTGGTCATTGATCCAGTGGGAGGTCCTTTGGATAGATGCTCGAGGAGGGTCTTATGCGCAAGCACCAACGATCTGGCAGTAGAATTCACTAAATGCTTGCAACAGTATTACCCAATGCCAAGAGATTAAATGCCGATACAATACATTCCCACCTTTCAGTACACATATAAAATAATGTTTAAACCAGAACTCTCAAAGATATATAAAGGACCTATACTATTTAGTCAGTATACAACCAAATCACAGTTATTGCTTTTAAGTTTAAAATAAAACATGTTCTTAAATTAATATATTGTGTCGTTACTTACCTGTATGTCAGTTACCAATTCAAATAATTTCAACATTACATGTAGATTTTTCATAGTGTCATTAAAAATATAATAACATTAGACAATAATTAAATGCATTTCTTAAGTAATTTATGAATTTAGTTTTAAATATGAACGTATATATCTATGAAATTATATATATATATATATTATGCCAATGAAACTGCATTTAAAGAAATTAATATCCACATGAACATGTAACTATTTGAAATGTTAATATATTGTACATATGGGCTCAGAAAAAATGACATAGTATACGATTGAAATTAACACCGTTATAAGTTAATCAGTAACAATTACTTTAATTCCTATTGAATTAAATGCGATATTCAATTTATGCGGCCAAGAATCGATTTTATTTACTTTAATAAGATTAAGAATATTCAACTTTGATATTCAGGTTAAACGAAAGTGAATATATGGCTTACCGAAGGATGAAAATATAAGACTAAAAATGTAGCCTTTGGTTACCTTAAATCGGTCTTTATACACTAATGAACTCTCGTTGTCAACGGAATGCATCTTCTGAACCCAGTTGTACGCACACTTACCTGACTTAACACCTACTGTTTGTGTGTATGCAGAAGACATTCCTGCAATGAGACAAACAGAAGTTTTATTATCGTCGCTCCACGTAAATTCGATTTTCTATTACATACAACATAGTACTTATGTATATTATCAAACTATCCATTTACTGGCCACCAGTACTTAATACTCTTCCCATTCTTTCATAAACTGAGCTGCAAATGAAACAAAAAACATCAGCGAATTAGTACATCTTGCAATTGCTTCTTATTTATTGTTCATCACCGAGTCAGCATACTTTAAGTAATATCGCGAAAACAAACAGCAATTACTTAACATATGCATGACTAAAAATAATAATAAAAGAAATATACAAATAAAATTTCATTAGGGAAATACCTTATAAAATATTTTCATGAAGCTTATACACCCCTATGTGTGCATCCATTGCAGCTTCTGCAACAAAAATACATACGAGACTAATATTATTAGCATTCAGACTATAGATTTAGGTGTCAGCGTTTCATGATCACTGACCAAAAATAAAATCGTATAAAATAATCAACTATTTTATTAATGAATTAAAATCCACACTCATTATTATTCATTGAATACATCTTAAATATTTTTTCTCTTTGCAATTATTGTGTGTATATATATATAAATATACGTTTTTGAAATAAGCTTTTTTTGCTATAGCAACAAATCCTCTGATTGTTCCTTTTGTTTTTTACCTCTAGAAAACCCAAAATCAAATTTTGTCTTGAATAAATGGATGCGTCAGAGCATTATTCAATCCAATTCGTTTGGCTGGATCCATCGAAAGTGCTTTATCCAACAAGTCTTTCAATTGTGTAACTTTCTTCAATTGATCAGCCGGCAACGTCTGGCCAGCGATCAGTTCTGTTTGCAAATCTCGAGTAGCTTTCACCATCGACATGATAACAACTTTTTCCTATAAAAAAAAAATCTGAAAAATTGTATCTTAAACTAAAACATTATAACTTACTCGTTCCGTCACTTTATCTATTTCATGGTACAGAAAATTGCAATTCCCGTCAAAATGTTGCTCCCTGAATGCGCCCTTCCTAATCACTTTGTTTGGCATTTTGCCTTTTACATCCATGAAGAATTTAAGCATTTGGTTGTTAGATTTGCCAGAGAATAGGATCCGTCCTGTGTACAGCTCGTAAATGGTGCAAGCAGCAGACCACATATCAATTCCGTAATCATATGGAATACCCAATATAATTTCAGGAGAACGATAGAACCGGGACACCAAGTATGGTGTAATTTCGTTGTCGCTTACTGTAGATGCTGATCCAAAATCGCACAATTTTAATACCAATTTGCTTTCATTGACCAAAATATTATCTGGCTTGATATCTAAAAAAATTAGAAATTACATATATTGTAAAAACATGCTATATATAAATTCATAATATTATTAATATAACTGAATTTCGAATTCTTATTAATATTATGAAATTGAATAAAATAGACTTACCAGCATGCAATATTCCAGTTTTCTTCAATAATTTGAGTGCTAGCAAGAGTTGTTGTGTGTAGCTCCTGACAGCTTTTATATGAAGGCCCACATCTTTTCCATACTTCTTTAAAACTTCTCTAAGATTCATGGAAAGAGGCTCAAATACCATACACAAATGTTGCTTATGAAAGAAATGCCGTATTAATCTTAAACAATGCATTCTGTCGTCGGGATCGGCATCATTCAATTTTTTCAAAATCTCCAATTCCTTTAATCCAGTTTTGTGCCTAAAACAAGATATATATTATATATCTTACAATTGCAGCTAAGCGGAATTAACTTACATTATTTCATTATTTCTTATAATTTTAACTGCCACATCTGAGGTTCCTCTTGCTTGATCTCGAGCTCTCACTACATTACTAAATACTCCCTGTCCAGTGTAACCGTATACCATATACCTTGTATCTAATATTTCGCCAATTCTAACGCGGTAGTAACCTTCAGCATCGTCCCAATTATCTGTTAACGCTGGATTTTCGTTGCCAGATCCTTTTTGAACTATAGTACTTGGAGACTAAAATAGATGATAATATTAATACAAAATAAATAACAAATATAAGTAGCTTACACTTGTATGCTTGAAGATATCCTGATCAGCAAACATATCCCATTGGTTAATTTTCGGTTTTTCTTTTTCCTTCTCTACTTTATTTTCTAGATTGGAACATTCATTGTTATTATTTTTAAGTTTCATGGTGGGTAGCAAAGGTGGTGTTAATGATGGATCACTATTAGGTTTAGGGTCAACTTCTTCTTCCTCTTCTTCTACAGGAACAACATCATCTTCATCCAGTTTAGCATCATCCTTGGTTTCAGCTGGTGGTGTTAATAATGATATTGCTGTATTTGAGTCTTCACTGTTACCTCCCAATCTCTAAAATGACATTAGTATGAGTGTTTAATTTGCAGCTAAAATTTATATATTTACCTTCATTAATTCTTCGCGTTGCTTCCGTCTCTTTTCAATAATCGCTTGCTCATCCTCTTCATCATTCAAATCAATATCCAAGTCAATTTCACTGTCACTACTGCTTTCCTGCTTCTTCAAACCTTCACTTAAGGAATCTTTATATTTATCTTGTTTTTCCATGTGTCGACCCCTATCTCTATTATTTCTATTTCTTCTATTGTTGTCCCTGTCTCTAGATCTAGACCTTCTATCTCTTCTGTAACTTTCGTATTTCCTACAATCATCCCTAGAATTCCTGTAGTCCCTGGATCTTGATCTCCTATTGTCAGTTATATATCTTCGATCCCTTCTATCTCTGGAACATGCGCGATCTCTGGAATTTCTTCCTTTATCCCTGACATGATTGTCGTACGACCTTCTTACGTCTCTCTCTCTTGAACGACGATAATCTCTGGACCTGGATCTTCTTTCCTTCTCCCTATCTCTTCTCAACTCTTGAGATCTCTTCTCTCTTTCTTTCTTCTCTAACCTTTTTTCTTCAGTGTATTTCATTTTTTTTGTCTCAATCTTCTCACACACGACTTTCCTATCCTTACTGTCTGAAAGATATCTTTTTCTGACTGGTTGAGCCTCATTACTGGAATCATCTAGTAATATGACCTCATCAACTTTAGTCTCGGCTTTCCCATTTACACCTGTATCAGCATCAGCAGTCATTGCAATTTCAGCTTGTAATCTCTCTTTCTGCTTCATGAGCTCTTCCAGGTCCATGTCAGCTTCAATAACAGCCACATCAATGGCATCACTGTCACATTCTGTTTCAACTGGTTCCTCACTCTCAGAAGAAATTACCTCTAAGGAATGAGTTTTGGATAATCCCGATGTCACATATTCAACAATCTCATCAGTCTCCATTTCTACCGGTTTTTCAGAAGATCCTGAACAAGATTTACCATTAGATACATTAGTAACATTACCTTTAGCTATTTGTGGAGATAATTCTGGTGTATACCGATCATTTTTATCTCCCTTAGCCTCCTCATCTGACTCACAATGTTTCCTCTTATGTTTTTTATGCTTCTTATGTTTCTTAGTTTTCTCTGTTTTCAAAGTTGCATGTTTCTTATGTTTTTTGTGCTCTTTTTTATGCTTTTTCTTTATGTCATCATCTTTGGGAGGCTTTTTGCTTATATCTACTGAATTCTCTACTGACGACCTACAAACGATTACAATTACTATACATTTCTATTGATTATACAAATTCAATATTATGAAACAGCGGGATGTTACGATTTTCAAATAAATAAATAAAATTACTTTTCCTTCTTTTTTATAAAATAGGTTATGTTGTAAACGAAATTTACTGTAATTTAAAAAACACTTACGTTGAATCCATTGCGTTTATATATATTATGAAGTATATTCAGACCTATATACGAATCCACTCGTGTTAAGTTTACTGAACGATAATACTATATATTTCAATATTAATTCTCAGAATTTAAGACTGATCGTCAGCCATATTTATTCTGGTTATAAATTTATGCGTGAAGCGTTGATTCCCGTTTGTTCTCATCGTTGTGTTGGCTATCCTGTTGGAAATATTTGTATCATTTCTTATTCCTTATATTCGCAGTGTAACGAACAGTAACGAATAGTCTTATTTGTTTGTTATTTATATATTGTCACTGGATTTTATATAATTCCAGGTGTTAATATAATTATTAACGTTGCACTAAACTTTTATTTTAAACTCAGTGTTTGTTAAGTTATCGACGAAAAGTGTGAATTCAATTACACACAATTTTAACCTCTACTATTAAAAACGTATTTTTTTTAGTTGCAAAAAAGTAGGTATTAATATATCTTTTCTGAATTTAGAATATTAACTTGTTGCTATACTTGATACATTTATTGTGTTTGTAAATTCTTTTCTGTTTTAATACACATTACTTTAGTCCTTATATACATGTATTTAGTCTTTTGGTTGCGAGATTGTTTGTATGAATATCGCGAAGATTTTAAATTTGGATGTGTTAGCAGTTTGAAATACCTATCCATTTTTTTCGTTTTTTTTTTTGTAGAGGAGAGGAAACCTATCCACCATGGGTAGATTTGTGGTACTGTGGGATTCTTACTGTACTAAAACCTCTTTTCTTCACTCTTCAGCATTTCGCTAACAAAATTTCGCAGTTCTAGCAGACCCCCAATTCTGCCTCATGTTTCATCCTAATCCACCTGCAGCATCTAAAAAAATGTGTGCTCAGGACTGTCATCCTCTTTTGCAGTACCAGCACCTTTTGTCCTCCTTTGCAATAAAGTACTTGGTACTTGCCAAAGTATCTATGATCAGATAGCGCCTAGCTCAGGTGAAAAATTGTTTAGCTGTGCTTCCTGTTTATCCATGGTTCTATTTGTGGTATTGCACAGACTGTCTCAAGCTCATTGATGAGAAGGATCAGTGAACATTTAAAGCACAAAACAGATTCTGATTTCCTGTCAACATTTAACATGAAAATAAATAAATATAAGGCTCGTTTGTACTTTGTATAACAAATATGAAGGTCGAACTTCTGAAGACCTCTTCATCGTGAACCACTTTAGTACACACCGTCAATTCTTCTGTTAAGATCAGAATAAAATGGAAACGAGAAGGAATTTTGTTTTTAATATTTTATTTCCGCTGCCGATATTTTTTTCTTGTTAATATTAGACGAAATATTCCTACTTCATAATTAGCATTTGCTGATTTGTTTTTCACTTATTCTTAAAAGAAAATAACATCTTAATATTTATTGAAGACCTAGTATAAAACACTTAATATATTATATTGTTGATTATAGCCTTTTATTGAAATAATTCTTATTCCTTTATTTAGTGTCAGATTGGTCAACACAGGATAAAGCATTGCTGCTGAAGGCGCTACGAAAACATGGATCCGATAAAATAGAAGCCATTGCGAATGAAATTCCTCTGAAATCAATATTTGATGTGAAGAATATGATAATCAGATACGAGCGCTTAGCATCATACGATCCAAATGAGAAACTTGACAATACTTCACCTATTGACCTCTGGATACAAGCGCTAAGGAAGCACACCGATTATAATGAATTGGTTCCAATATCAAAGGCCTTGAAGTTCATCAGTATGTACGAAGAAAATAACAATGAGTACATCAATATTAGGTAATATATTAAGAATTGATAATAGATAAATAGTAATTATATATTATTATCATTTGTTTACAGTGACTGCTATGAAATATTAGCAAATATATCAGAGGGTGTAGCGGGAAAGGAATTGGATCAATCGTCGTATAATTTCGTCTTAAATAGTTTTTTGAACACGGCAAAGGAAGTGAAATCTGAAAAAACGGCGGAGGAGAAACAGTTCTTAAGCAATGTCAAGGTCACCAATAATGATTTATCTAAAAAGAATACTTATTCAGCAAAAGCGAAGGTTTGTTTATTTTATTAATTAATACATTATAATAAGCAAAATTAACGTACTCATTTACGCACTTCGGTTTCTGACACACATACATGTTTCCATTTTGTTAATGTATTTTTTTGTAACGGGAATGTAACTTTGGAATTGGTAGCTTAGTTATAAGAAACTCAGAATTTTCCAATATGAAAATCTAATTCTAATTATTTACCAAAATAACTTATCTCTTATCAAATTGAAAGTCTTAACCGATTTTTTATCAATCTAGTAGTGCTTTTGAGGTAGATGTATCAATTAACGTGGATATATTAATATCTAAAGTATTTGTAAAGTCTCTTCTCGAAATATTCCTATATATCTTGATAATTTATATCCATTAATTAACCTTAACAAAATAGATGGTGTCCGTCACTGTAGGTATTTATGTATTACATTTAATTCAAACTCAAAATTACATAACCGAAACCATTCCATGGTTAATCTAAAGAATATTATATTTAAAATATATTCTTTCAGAGAGTAGCTGAAGATACGACTGTGAATCCGCTGTGTTTACCAAAGGAGCTTTGCCAAAAAAAGCGAAAAGTTAATGATTCTTAGGGTAAGGATATGAGAGGAGTTAATAAAGAAACCTTTCAGTATTTTTTTTCAACATATCACATTTTTATATATTTCTTTCCCTCATATTACAATTCTTTAATGATATGACAACTGAATAAATTAATCACAGATTGTTTCCGCCATCGGCTCAATCAATACAAGCGACGCGAAAATGTTCTTGTAATCAATTTATTCATTCACATGTATACTCTCTTTGTACTTCCAATATATGTTTGTTTTTTCACACATTATTATTTTTTTATCCAACGATACACACATGTACTATGTTCCTATTTACATCGAAGAGTGATGAACAATACAAGAAAATGATACAATATCCGAGGTAAATTATTTTATCATTTAATAAAATTTGATATGATATAAATCAGCAGTCAAGTTCTTATATCTTAAAGAAATGCAGTATTATTGACATTTATTTCAGTTTAAATATATTTATTTTTATATATATATATTTGAATAGTTTTTTTCTTCTTTCCTTTTCAAATGCAGATTGTCAAAAGGCGATACATCCATATTTAAAAATAGAATAGTAGTGTTGATATAATCTAATATGCTTAATAGTTAAGAATTAAAAGAGAGATCACATTGAGCAAGTTGCACAACCGTCGGAAAGGAAATGAAACAAGCTGCTCAATCGGAGGAACGTAAATCACAGTACGGAATAGTGTGTAAATGAATGATTGATGAAACAGGGTAAAATAAAAAGAAACTACGGTTTATAGAAGGGGAGTACTATAAACTATTAGTATTTATATAAACACTGACAAATACATATAGCACGCATGCACATTCAATGAGAATGGGTCTAACGTGAAAAAATAGTTTTTTTTTGGAAGATTGTCGAGGATTCCCGAAAAGGCTTTTTTTTTATAAAGGAGGGACATACAGTTTTTGTTTTTCATCTCTGAAGTTTAGAAAATGTAGAATTTTTACGAATCGTGCACAATTACAAGGGAAATAAAGTAATTCTTTTAAATATATTTATGATTCATATATCATTGATAATTTGTTTTTTTTTTAAATAAATATATTTTGCATTCAATCGTGTATTCTGTTGATATTTTCGTCTTCGGGTTCAAGTTAAAGTAAAGGTTAACATTATTCTGTAACCTTTGACCGATGATGAATATACCGAGCGTTAGTATTGAAAATGCGTACATTTATTTAATTTTAGTTATATATATATATATTTTAATATTTGATTACTGATTGTCAAAAATATGTATTTTAAATATATTTGATTCAAAATAAAATTAGATATTTAATAATAGTAGTACGTATTTCATTTGTCTTGGTACAATTTAAAAAGGTGCACTTTTTAGTTAAGGTAGACGAATACAACGAATAAAGGTACATATATACTTTTTTACACTGGAATGTGGTGATGCCTGTGATTGTCACTCAGATTGCCACTTCTGGTCTTCATGGACTCGAGTTCCATAAAAACTTAAGTACAAGTAAACATAAATCAAAGAGCTCAAATCATCAGCTTGGGGTTGATTACTGACGGCCGGCAAACAGTTGGTACTGGAACATCAAAAATCAATTAGGAAGGGCTATTGTTCGCATGACGAGTACTTATATCCTATCTAGTTAAGTTTACTCTCTGTTCTAGTTTTAGTAATTTTATATATATCATTGCATTCCACTGTTACTATTACAGTATTAGATAGTTGCTCAATCTCTAACAATAGCCCCCGCTGATGAATGATGGTGAATGCACGAGACAATGATGACGGTTAGTGTGTGGTAGAAGCAGGAGATTTATATAGTGTTTAGTTTACACGATGGTCATACGTACGTACATTCAGCTAAATGTAATGTTCAGGGAGGGGCATTTCCTAACTGTGCTACTAGAGAACGCCCGGCCGTTGGTTGGTTGGTGTGATGAGGTGAATCTTACCATGCCGGAGCCCAGCTGCTGTAACAAGCCAGAGCCCTGAGAGCCTCCGAATACAGCTGATGGCCGACGAGATCTGATGCTCTGCATGCTGCTGCTCAGTAGGAACGGGACACTGCTGCTCGTATTCGGCATCGAACCTCCCTGAAATTCATCACATACATGATCTAATACAATTCCATCGTCTTCATCATAGACATTCTCTTCGGTTAGTTGAGATAGATATAGATTTGCTAAGTTTTTTTCTTTCAGTCTCATTACAGATATAATTACGTTAAGAACACCCTCGCATTTACAAATTCATTTATCATCACATTAAATAAAACTTATTTTTGTTTGTAAAATTATAATGTAAGACAAATAGACAAAATGTAAATATCCCATATATTTCATGAATTCCCTAAAGTAATTAAATTAATCCCAAGAGTTAACCTTCTACGGTTTGGGTAAGTTCAAAGACGCATTAAATACGTTAAATTTCGTTATACATACTTTAGAAATTATCAAACATTTCTATTTTGTAAGTAAGTTATAATAATAATTATTATTATATTGTTATTTGATTTGGATTACAATTTGCATATACAATATATTAGATAGACGCTTTACGGTTGAAATGGAAATGAATGCTTTGTAATTGGAATTTTATGCACAAAGCAGTGTTTCCAATTCAATTCAGTAGACTGAATTATCAGACAGATCACGTAGGTATCTCGAGCTTTCTGTAAAACGCTTTGTGAATAATTCCTAATAAGATTAATTTTGCAAATAATACAATAAAGTTTAATTTTAAATACATTTTTACACTTACAAAAAGAAATTTTATATATATTTTTAATATTGATGATAAAATATGTTTTCTAGAATAAATAAATAATATTAATGATAATTAAGTGTTTAATTTTCGTCATTTTACTTTTAAAAACTTTGATAAAGCGTTTTAAAGTTGTACTAACTTCGAGAAAATGTTATGTAACTTTCAGGAGAATATTCAAATTCTTATAGACATTATAAATTTCACTATCCTTTACACAGGAAAATTAGAAAATTCGATTGATTCTATAAATATGTCAAGGTATTTCCAAACTTTATTCCACTGGTGACAGTAAGCTGCAGCTTTATGTAACGACAACCATTGCATGTGACGTTTTACATTACTTTGTAAATAGTTAATCCGACAAAGCTCTCAGGTGGCCATCGCTACTTAATTTAAAGACATAGTTACATGGGTCCGGAAATGGTCTATCTCGCAACTAACTTGTTAAGGAAAGTATCTGTATTAGAAGAAAATGTTTAGTAATATTATATTTTTTAAGTGACTTGTGTATATCTAATTTTAAATATAAAACATTTATTTTTTGTATTATATAAGCAAGCAGCTTAATGTCCGTATGATTAACAACTAATCAGATTATATCATGAAATCTGACAACTGCAAAGACTGAATATTATGAACCTGCAGGAAACTAGTAGCGGTTGCTATAGAAACAGCATATATAATGGAGGGGAATAATCATACACACATAGTTTCGTACTGAAGATATTTTACCTAAAACTAAATATTTGTATATAATTTAAACTGAAAATCTATCTAGTTTAAACATTATATAAACAGTATTTTCCGGCTTCGATCATTTCAAAACAAATTTTAATTGAAAAATAGTACACACAATTATCTTATTATACAAAAATGTTCAGCTTTTTTTTTCCAGTTATGAAAAGAATCCTTTTTTTACGGTTTATAGATTCAAACAGTCCGGAATTAATTATTGTAAAAGTCTTATTTGCAACCTATAAATATTATATAATAGGTGCAACTGAATCTTCAACTATTAATGTGGCAGTTGGTCCACTGCATTTTTTATGTGACTTCAGTGAAAACCCTTTAACTGTAATAATTTAAGTGCGGCTTGACGCAGGAAAAGTATAAATATAAAAGTGGGTGGAAGGAAATTGCGACCTCGAAACGTAACGTATGTTCCTTAAAACAAATTACAGGCAACATGAAGTATGCTATTACCTAATTTAAAACAAGAGTATCCATGATTATGTTCCAGGATTTGCGTGCATCTACTTAATTATAAAATAAGCTTGGAATAATAAGCAGATGAACTAATTAAATCCATTATGGACGTACTATATTATGAAGAACTAAATACTTTATACTAATTACATACATGATATCAATTCTATTAAAGAGAGTAGTATGTAATAAATGTAACAAATAACGATCATTTATATTTTGATACGAAACTATTCAATAACAAGTCTTTTCTTACTTTTAGTATAGCAGCTTTTTTTGTATTATCGATAAGTCCATTTCATGTAAAGCATATACCGTCCCCGGAGACAGGCAGTTGCAGAGGGTGTTGGATTCTATGCGGACTATAGATTTCGCTCATCTATTTCCCTCTGCTGACACTTTCCTACGTATCATATATCTTCAATATTCTATTGCAATGCTTTCGAGGTGCAGTTCTTTATAAAAATGGAATTCATTGAAAACATTATTGATTTCTATTGTACTACATAAATTTGATTTGCATATTTATTGTATGTTGCAAATAATAGTGACAATCACACACCTCGTTGCATTTCAAGAATCTATCAGTATTAATATTAAGTTAAATTACTTCACGTCATATACCATAATAAATCGTTATCGAAATAACGATTTACTCGAATATTTCACTTTAAAATATGTTAAATTTATACTTTTCATATTCAGGATACATTACCTACAAACATCCTAAAAATAAAATTTTAAATTCATTTTACAAATAACTGAAACAGTATTTCAGAGATCAGATTCAAAGAAGAAATATCTCTATAATTATTTAATTTTGAAGATTTTGCTTATTATTTTCAGTATAGTAAATTATCTATTAAATATTGCAATTTTAGTTATTGTATGTTTAAATCAATCTTAATTAAATTAAATGTGAAAATATACTATCTTTATAAAAGTTAATCATTTTTATTTTATAATTATGATTATATAAATAAGTTCTACTACGTCCCACTGTTAACTTATTTTTTTTGTTTTCATATAAATAAATGAAGAAGTACTTCAATAATATTAATATAAATAAGTTTTGTGTATTTTGAAGGAAATGATGGTCTGAAGAGAGTTTTTTAATATAGACTTTAGATGTCATAGTTTTAGTGAAATTTAACGCAATTTTTGTTTTAATTATGACTTGGTAGCTATCAATTTTGACTTTGCGCAAATAATAATAACGTTGCGGGATTTTGAAAATTATGATGTTTTGCACAGTCCAGCAAATTTCAATTTCAGTGTGATATACTTTGGGTGTTACTACGATATTTGTTTGTGGTTTGTTCAGTGATTTGAATGCGGTGAACAATTTTGCTGTTTTTATTGTTAGTGTAAAACTAGAAGTACACAAACCAAAATTTCGATGAAAGGTGAAATGTGTTACTTGTTCCTTAGGCCATCTATACTACCCTAACTAACCGGCATCAGATTCCAAGCTCAGATACAAATATATTGTTAGTAGAAAGATAGATAGAGCAATAAAAATAATAAGACGGGTGTGTAATGTGTATGTTCAGTGAATAATAACGCTACGACCAGATACTGGAGGTTTTCGGTTATTACGATAAATGATACCAATAACAATGAATTACAATGAGAAACAAACGTTCAGACGACGAATACTCACTATCATGCTCCGTGCAAGCTGAATAGAGAGACACAGCGCAATCAACAATGGCATATGATCCAAGCGGTCGGGACGGCACAAATGAGAATGATCACAATATGATTAACAACACAGAAAACAAGAAGAACCCAGCCAAAACATGACTCAAAAGTAACAGAAGTGAAAGAAAACGTGAGTTCATTTAATACACACATCATTATTTATTTCAATTTCGCTTTCATTTATTAACCAAATTCAAGATTCTTTATAATCTGCTAACCTGAAACTTTGTACAATATCAAACTATTTTCGGCGGAATTTTACAAAATAATATTTATTATTATGGAATAAAACTGTATTTTTTATTTATTTGTTTAATTGATTATAAAAATGTGACATATCTATAATAACCTTTGATCTGCAAGACAATACAATAAATTGTTTAAACTACTCCATTTATAACAATTATGTTGTAAAATGGTATTCATCAGTTCGTAACTTAATTTTTCCTTTACAGTCTTCACTTTACGATTACAATTTTCATTCTACATCTAAGAAAATATGTTTTTTTTTTCTTCTAAGAATTAATGAAATTATTAAGTTCACATATCTATACGGATAAAAATTATAGTGAAATGAACACCAAAAACATTAAATGAGGTTTAGGTTATGTTGTAAAAAATAGAACATTTAATTGACTAAAATAATTAAATTCAAGATTGTTAATAACTTTGTTGCTCGATAAATTATCTTTCATGCTAAAAATTCATGTTTATAGATGTAAAACTACGATTATTTGACTAAAAATTTATTTGTATTTAATTCTAATTGAAAAATGTAATGTTTAGAAAAATTTAATTAAAGTTAGATAATATTGTTTAAAATTATTTATTGCATTATATTTCTCAGTTCAATAAATAAACAGTCAGAAAATATGTCATAGAAGAAATTGTTCTGAATGACTGGATTGAACATTTATTGCAGAATGACAATAAATTAAATGATTTATTACTAAAGTAAATTGTTATATAACAGATTCAATAGTAAAAAAATGATTGTTGATTGCACATTTAAACAGGGTATTCCAAAAAATAATAGTATCATAGAATAACATCAATAAAGTTTGATTGTGTAAAATATGCAAGATCATCCTAGCCAGTGAACTCGCATAAAATTCGATAAAGTTAGTAGTCTATTAATTATATAAGTTGAGATATCTTATTCGGCGCGTTTGATATAATTCTCTGGAATTGGCTATAGTATTGTATACAACGAAATATAGTATTAGTAGCTTTGATCTCACCTGCATTGTATATACGTACAATGCAAACAAGTTTGTTTGTATTTTTGTTGTGCGTTGGCGTATTCCTGTCGAACGCAAAATGTACGCTTCCAAAGATTCACAGATTAAACCCACCTCCATCGAACGATCGGTAAATAAAGGCTTTAATTAATTCCGAGCGCACGCTTTGATATTTCGTCTATAAATATTAAGGGAGGTCTTTGAATTGCCAATGTATTGGAGGTGGCCTCGACCTCGGCCTCGGCACGGTGTGCAGGGCAACACAAAAAAATCACCCGATTGTTAAATGGAATAATGACGCTCGAATACCGGCGCACAGAGCATAGCCGAATCCGGCAATTACTGTGCCGTTGTTTTCGATCAAGATCAAATGTTTGTTTATGTTGCATTAATGCACTTTGCCGTTCCTGCTTCGAGCCCTTTTATTTCTGTTTCCGCTTGTATAATTATTGTTCTACTTTGTAAATTAAGCTCCGGCTGTTCATAATAGAATATGATATTCTGATATGTATACATCTATACATATATTTGTATACAAAGAGGTATTAAATAAATAATTGAAGGGGAGAGTTGCCGAATTTGGAACGGACTTTAGATTTAACCACTATCATAATTTTGACATAATCAATAAAGGTTGATTAGACATCAAGATGTAAGTTAGCCTCGTAGATACAATGGCAAACAAAACATGATTTATTTAGTATATTCTTTAGATTGGTCTATAGTAGGTAGCAATATATGTCCTTAAATCTACTATAATAATTTTAATAATTCGTAATATATGCTACCTAAATCTAGAAATATTTTTACGTATTTGTCTGGAGTGAAATTATATTTAATAACATCATGGGAACCCAAATTCTTTGATTCGATTAATACTATTTTCACTATTTTGTAGCATTTTTATTCATAGAAGTATGTTAAAACATTTATCATTGTTTAATATACTTATTTCAGTATTTCTTATTGAATAAGTGATAATTATATATATTTCCTTAGTCAGTTCTTTGGCATATTTATTGGATTTACCAGAAATTCAACTATAAAATTTAATTTTTAATATTTTTATATTATTTACAATTGTAATATTTTTGTTAAAGGTTCCAGATATATGAAAATGTAAACAATGTAGTTATTTAGATTTTCATGCATCTAGAACAGTGGTTCCCAACCATTTTTGTGCCGTAGCTCACTAAAGCCTTTCTAGTTTTTTTATAGTTAAACTATAGATATGTCCATTTTAGAATTGCCCCCTTAACAATCAAATTGCCCCCATGTGGGGCGTTGGCCCTACGTTGAAAAACACTAATCTAGAACCTTTAATAAATATATGTCTTAATTATATTATTCTGTCTTTACTTAACATTACCTTCACGCCAATATTAATAAGATTGTTGTAAAAAAATATGCAAATTGTTTGATGTCAATATGATTTACTTTTCGTTATGATCAAGATGAACTTTAATATTCACAGAAGGAAATAATATTAAATTACATATTTACTTTTATGATCTTGTTTAACGATGATTCGGTCTACTCAAAAATTAAAAACTTCTAAATATGTGTCGTGTCGCTTAGAAACGCTTCCTAAGCGCTCATTGCTGTATTACCATACTATAAGATGTCACCACTGTTTTGCACCATTAAAAATTTGAATATTTATATTAAGCCTATAAAGAAGAAGGATCTATATTATATTATTTTAGTCCGCAATACCTTTTAAGAGCACCTAAATAGATGCATTAAAGTTTAATACTTGTGACTCTAGAACTACTGCATGCAATATACATTGTTTTTAATACTAAAATACAAAATTCAGTCTCTTTTCTTCTACAAGATATATAATTAAATATAAAATATAATATCCACGATGTTTAATTCTTTACAACATTAATCTAGATTTCGTCGGAATACAATAATATAAAGATTAGTTAAGTAATAAAATTATTTAACTGGTTATTTGTTTAAGTTTTGAATTCAAATTTAATAATCTTTTTCGTTATTAAGACTACAACAAATAATAACTCATCAATGAAATACATATAACACGAATTCAACATTTGTAACTGATTCATATTGGAATATTTGCATTTAAATACGTTAATACTGATTTTGAATAAACGTTTGATGTAATTAATTGGGATAAAATAGTCTCAATAATTTTATTTTGTATACCAAATTTGTAATTTATTGATACTATGCATTTTAATTAGTATTTTTGGTGGATTCAAATATATTTTCTGGATTTATTTTTAATAATAAACTTAATATAATAAAATATTCATATTGTTTATCTTGTATTGGTTTACTACGGGCGGATTAAATTACAAAATATGAACTAAATTTAAATTACCAATAAAAGAAGTAGAATGATCTTAGGCTCTTTGGCCGAAGTTGTGACAAATGAATGTGTTTAAACAAATAAAAATAAATTAAAAAAAAAATCGTTTTATTCTCATTATACAGTTCAAGTCAATTTTGTGCGTTTTATTTTTCTATGTAATTAGTTTTTCGATTAGTCCCGGCTATAACAGCAAACCAATTACCTGCACTGTGCGAGGTACTGCTGTATTTAAAAAAGTACCTTCGATAGCTCAATTGGTAGAGCGGTGGACTGTATTTATAAAACTGAACTGAATATTTTCAAGGCATTGAATCTTTTTTAAAGATTTAAATAATGCAGCATTGTAATTTCCAAGAGGTTTTCTGTCAATTTGATATTGTATATACTAAATATGTAAACATAGTTAATATATATAAGATTAAGTGCGGCGCAGCTGTACTTTTACTAGAAACGTAATATATCAGGTGACCGACAATTTCATAATCAAAAGTTAGGGAAAACGTGTTCTAGGTAAGAAAGTTTCCGCTGCACTCTTAGAACAAATGGATAAAATTACACATTAAAAGTTCGGAACGAGTTTCGGCATCTTCAGGAAGCAGAGTGCAAGCTGAATGTTTATTCGTACAACGTACAGTATCTCAACAGACATGTTTAAAGCAAACGAAACGAATTTAAAAATCATCCTACATTGACATTGAGTTTTAAAACAAATCAAGTTCACCAATTATAATTCTTAATTAAATATAAGAATATTTGTTTTCATTATTTTTCAAAGATATTTCCACATATAAATTATTTACTAAATATTATACAATTTTGTATACAACATTGCATATGAAATATTAAAAGAATTGTAAAGAAATAATTGTTATTCCCTTTGTATCAGTTGACTTTTTTGAAATTATATATATTTATTTTGTTCTTTTTATTTCTGTATATGTTTTTTTGTACGACTTTAATTTTTGTACGACTATTTTAATTGTTTTTTAAATCAAATATTAAATGTTTTTGTAAATATATTAAACGATTTAAATTACTTTTATAATCAGCTTCATGTCCAATAAATACTTATATCATATGTGTATCATATTTTATATAATTAAGATTTTTAAATATAGAAACAGTAATATATGTATTTTTGTACGCATAATAAGAAATATAGTTTTATTGCTTTGAGGTTTACATTTTTAACGAGTCTAAAAAAGTAAAATGATATTTTTAAAAGGTTTTGTTTCAGACGCATTGAATATATTGAAATATATAATGAAGTGTTTTATGTTTAAAGCGATGAAACGTTGCTTATGCCTTTGCCATAAGACTGTATGTTTTGTTTTTGGCTTATGCAATTCAGTGTGAATATTATTACGTGCATATTTAGTTCTATGAGACGACCATCTAGGTCGGTGTTTCACAGAAAACGCACATTCTTATCCATTGCACTGAAAAAACGATACACATCTTACGAGACACGCAAACATCAACAACAGTCGACCATGATGAGAGTTCTGCACTTACATACGTTGATGGAACCGATAAGCTCGAGCCCTCACGGGACACCGAACTGTAACCTATGGCGCCCTGCATTCCAACAATACTCTTCAATATACACATATAATCTACTGTTCGTTTCAGTTCATAAAGAAAAATCATACACAAAGTAGTAGTGTCGACGGGAGAATCATCTAAGAGCGATTCTAAGAATTCTCCAGTCGGAAAGTAAACTAATCAGTTAAATTTGAATATGTGAGAATAGTGTAATAGTGATAATAGCAAGTATGGTTACCGTTGGTGGTGAAAGGTTAACAGTGGACCCTCGTCTCTCCTGCGGACCTATGCTCGAGTGACGACGTATAGGTAGACCTCCACCAGGGGTACCTCCAGGTGAGGAGGCGCACGATGGAGCGACCCTGATCTTTGGTGTCATGAGAGTATTGTCAGATAACCTCCTGTTTGGAAATGCATTTGCCACCCGCAAGAAATTACTGTCTGGCGAGGACGGAGATCCTCCGAACCACCATCCGCCCAGCATTCCACCTGCAAGTTAATTAGATCAATCGATATATCACAGAAGTGGGCTCGACGCCGACGTCGACACGGAACCTGTGGAATTTTTCCGGGCCATATCCTCTGCACTGGATGTCTTCCTTTGTTCGACTCGCAAATTCGGTATGTTGAATGGGGGTACGTGCATGTTGTCGGAGCTGTATTGGTGACGCAGCGGCCTGTGCCTTTCGGGACTCGGCAGTGATAGATTGTCCAGTTTCAATTTGTTCCTTTGGTTCCTATCAATCTGCTCGAGCATGTCCTGCAGGACTTCCAGCAGGATCGTGAACTGCTCCAAATTCAACGATGGATTTACTGTTTGTGGCAGAAGACTCGGCATAACCTTCGTCGCCATCAAATTCACCGACAGTCCGTACTTCTTATCGCTAAGCATCAGTCTATAAATATCTGCAAACGGAAGAATGCAATAACAGTAGACTTTTAATAACAATAGCCGAGCGCCTCGCACTGCATTACATTATGTAATCTGCGCACAGTGGGCCAGCCTCGAGTTCCAATTTGCAAACTGCCGGAAGCGCTGCTGCGATATTGGAATATTAAAGCGGAGGAATTTTATTAAATACTCACTGACAACTCTTAACGTAATTTGCGGATCCGACAACCTGATTTCATAAAGCAGCGGCAAGACCTCGTCAATTATTTGACTTTTATCCAATCTATCCAATGTCCTCTCCACGCATGATAACACGTTCGATACAATTTTCAAATCGTTTTGATTCTTCTCGTAGATCATCTTCGTTTTCGGTAATATTATCCTTTTAATCGCCATCTCGTCGAGGTACTCTGACACATTAGTTACGGCCAATAATGCTGCACTCTGCAAAGCAAAGCAATTTAAAACTTGTATTTCCTAAAAACTTTTCCTATCATGTTATTTTTAGTTATATCATAATTATAAACGTAAAAGTAAAAGATGTTCAGAGGAAGAGTTCAAAGCAAATATATATATATAAAAAAAAACATTGCTTCATTTCTCGCTACAGATGGATCTCCTATATATTTTCTCTTCTTTAACTAGTCTCATGCAATCTATATTCAGACTATATTTGAAACTAAGAAGCAAAGGACAGGAAATATAAATGCAGCATAAAAATAAATATAGAGTAAAATACTGTAAGCATTAATTATAAATATTGAATTATTCTAAACTATTTAATTGAATATTTAATAATTCAAATATTCAAATTGTAAAAAAAGTTACGATTTTTTTGAGATTTACTTTAAAATATCTTCAAAGCATATGAAAAGTGTTCCTTTAGTACATTCAACATCTTTGCATACAACATCAAATTGCATATTGCTCTATAATAAAATTACGTTAAAAATCGATGCAAGTTCTCGAATACCAAAGAATTCTTATATATAATTTATAAAAATACAAATTTAACGATTTGAGTTTTTGCCTATAAACAATAAAACGCCGATTATCCGGGTTTCAATTTACCAGGTTAACCAATTATTTATTTATTTTACATAATAATATCAAATAATGTTCAAGGAAAATAATAAGAAATTATAGCTTACCTTTAAAAATGTGTTTTTGTATAAAAAATACATAGATATTAAGTATTAAAGCAAATAAAAGCCATGTTTGCATTAACCGTGTTTTTCATTTATCCATTCCCGAATTACCATGGATAATCGGCCTTTTACTTTAATTGCAAAGACAATTATGGGGTATAAATTCATATACATTATATATGATATTTTTTAATACTAACTTAAAATAGCTAAAAGGGGGTTTGAAATAATAAAGATTAATAAAAAAAAGGACAAGGACAATGTTTTTATATATGTTAAGAAGTTCGGAAATTAATTTCGTTTTTTTTTTCACTAAACTATATTGTTATTATATTAAAATGATTATACAAAAATGATTTTGTGCAGTTAGATCTGAAAGATGGTGGTGTACATTCTGGAAATTGCAGTTGATGAAGATATATTAAGCAAACCGCCGAATTCGATAATTTTGTATTGTTATAAAATTATCGAATTCTACTGTTCATGACTAGGTCAAAGAAATTTGTTCATTTCATAACAAAGAAAAACGAAATTAATTTACTAACAACAACAAATTTAAATTTGTCGCTCTTGCAATATTCTAACCTGAGTACATGACCTATTGTACGGTAGTAACAGAATATATATATATATTTTTCTATGTAATAATTATTTTTTCTATGTTTTTTCATGTTAATGATCACTTTGAACAAATTAAAGTGTGTACCCTATAAAAATAAATGTACATTAAGTGTTTACAATTCAAGCAGATTTATTATATTATACTAGCTTGAAATCTGAAAAAGGAATCTGAAAAGTTGAAATTGTCATTTTCAAAGAAATATAACGAATTTTACTAGGTGCTTAGAAAAAATATATATAATTTAAACTATGCATGCATGAACTCAGTTTTTAGCATTTTCATGAATTAATTAATGCACTCTACGGAGATAATAGGGAGAACGCGCCGGAGGAAGAGAAAACTTTATTAAAGGGGGATAATATGCATACGGTGTCTCTTTTTTTTGCTTCGCAGTGATTTCATTATGCACGCAGTATGTGCAGGCAAAAATAGAAGTTGTCGAACGTATTCATGTGCAAGTGGCTCCATGCAGAAGGAAATTTATATTGAAAATAATAAAAAATAAAACTCAGGTAAAACAGACGCGTGTTAATTTGCAATTACGTAGGTTGCATCCCCGGAGGGCGGTAATTACACGATGCTTGGCTCACCTGGACCTGAATGGGACTTTCAAATGCGTTGTACAGCATCGGCAGGACTTCCGTCCGGATGTCGTCCCTCGGGGTTTTTTCGAGGATGATGTGGAGATGCTCCAGGAGGGTAACGGTTGCCTGGACCGATTTGCGTGCCGAAAAAACGTCCCTGCACGAAAAGAGAAGATGGTTTCTCATTTAAACAGTATCCAGCGGGGAATTATAATGGATGCGAAGCTCATTGTTCTGCACATTACGACGCGTATACTCATATATAAAACATACGCACTCGCAATCCTCTTGTTTATGGATTTGACTGATCAAACAGAGGAACAAAAAATATCTATTTACTGTGATATTGCAAAAAAGTTTCATATCCATTCTGGCCGCAATTCTCTATAGACAAATAATAATGTAAATGTATTAGTTACTTAAAAATATACGCAAATGGTTGGTCTTTTGATTTTCAGTAGTCTTTCCACTCTAAACATTTTTATACAGTTTTACCTCGATTAACAATTATATTCGTTTCATTAAATTAGTTTGCTAAGCGAAAGTTCATAAACAAAATAAAAAACTGATTTTTCGAACAAAGAAAAGTCTTATTAAATAACTGTCACCTACAAGATGAAATCACATGTCAAAACTAGTCAAAATTTAATTGTTTCTGTTTTATTTTCCTAAGTAGAGTTATTGCAATTAACACAGATCGGTTAAAAATAGTACTTCTTCCGAAATATTGATATTTTTTACTTTTTAGTAATTAACATTTGCTTCGATAGGAAATAAAAGGAAAACATGTTCTTTACATGTTTCATTGCCTTTTCGAAACCTATTAATTAAACCATTTGGAAAACTTCATTTCTAATTTTTTGGATGTTATATTTCTGTTCTACTACAACTTCTGAATGATTGTCGGGCATAGTCATTAAATTGGAATATTTTCTTTGTTATATTGAAGCTTCATTATCGGATCTAATGATGACCATGCCTCGGTCTGTATTTAAGTGACTTTAGTATATTCAATTTATTGTATTGTACAGGAAACTAATATATTAATTTAATTTATTAATTATGCTTTGTAAAAGACTTAAATGAATTGAAAAAAAATTGTGTAAATTGATTTAAGAATAAATCTATTTATTGAAATATTGGAATCTATTTAGGGATTGCTTGGAAAATATATAACAATATAATGATTTTCAGATTATATTCCATGGATGTTTGTATGCAAGTTGGGCATATGCAGTATATAGAAAAAGTTTTTTTTTACTTTGGATTCGAATGATGCGTGTAGGTGTTAAAAATCAATTTTTCACGTTATATTTTTGCAGTGGGAATGCCATTTCCTAGGTGAAAATTGGATATGGGAAATTGGAAAAGTTACGTGCGGTATTTGAGTTCACGTAAAATTCGATTTGAAAAGTGTCAATATCATCTAATATTTGCATATCGGAATTATTTAATAATGCATTACTCACATAGAACTGCATTTTTTATTTAGTTTTTCGTATATATATAATTTATTCGAAAATTGTTAAAATATTACATAAAAGTTTTCCCATACTAAAATATCGTACGATTATAATAAATAATTATATTAACATTTATTTAACAAAGGATAGATATGCAATCATTTTAGGTTGAGGGCTCTGTCGAAAAAGATATTTGTGTGCTCCAAGAAGACGGTGTTGGTGCTCTAGAGCAGTGGTCCACAACCCCCGGTCCGCTGACCGGTATCGGTCCGTGGATCAAATGATACCGGTCCGCGGATCAAATGGTACCGGGCCATTTTATTTTAACTCACTAGAATCTAGTGAGTTAAAATGTTAAATCACTTTATATTCATTTTTTGGTGTAACTATACTAACGTCCCCCCTCGACGGGCCGCGGTAAAATTATCAAACGTTGACCGGTTCGCTCTAGAGGAGCCAAAGCTAACCGTCGGAGAAGAAGCGTGGAGTTCTGAGAAGAGTAGAAAGTATTGAATTCTTCTTTTCAACAAAAGGAAGTGGTGCCCAAAAACTTCCCACGTAAGGGACTCACGCCCAGCCGGAAGTAGAAGATTTTGTCATTTGTTTTATTCCACGTTTTCACCCTTCGTGTTACAAATCGGCGACCAACGTAGGCGACGCTATGCGTCTGATCAAGAAGGGTTATAATTAAGAAATCAATATCTGCAGAATATTGTTTAAATATTTGAAATTATTTAATAGAAATTAGTGAAGCAATTTATCTTCTTTTTTGTATTAGTTTACATTTTTATTTCGCTTAACATTGAGATGTTAACTGCAGTTGATTATGACTGGAACAAGGAGGTTATAAAAAAAATAATTTGTTGATGGATGGTCGATAGTTTTTGTGGTTCGTATGATTCAAACATGGCAGAGTGGATTCAAACTATGTTGATGCAAGGTTTTCTAATATAAAAAAAAGACTGGATGATTTGGATGAATTTAATTTATGTGTTAATAATTTTGTTTGTATTTTGTTTTTGGAACCAATGATACGTATCCTATTTTAATACAATGTGTTCAGCAGTTGTGACTATTTTTTTTAATGTTCCTGGTTGGATGTAAACCGCAAACGTTTCATTAGAATAAATGAGTTGTCAGTATTTTATTAACTGATTCCATTATATGCATGCTGTAACACGACAGGTGAGATCGTGCACTAAAACAAATGACAAGATCTTTTAATTCCGACTTTGCGTATTTATCGGATTTACTATATTTAGATACGCAAATAATAACAATTATATTATAAATTAAGATTTTTAATAAGAATTAATTTATTTTCAAAGCTGTGTAACCATGCTTGAATGGTTTTATAAATGAATAATATTAATAATATATATACACAGCAATGAATCGAACAGTTCTTATTCACTTTAGTCCGACTTCAAAACAAACTAAATGTTTATTGAGAAAATAATAAAATAAATTCTAAAAATTTCATTTAAAGTCCTTGATTAGTCTGGTTATTAGTGGACTATACGATGTATCTGCTTAACGTTTCTAATTTATTATATGTTTAGTTCTCACAATATCGAGATTGGTATTTGTAATATTACTTAGCCAAATATTTGGTGTTGAAAAAGGAATGTTCGAGATTGAAGTGTTATACATTAAATTCCATACCTAAAGGAGGGAAGCACAATGGTTTCGTATTCCTCAATGGTGCATTCTCGGATCATGAATAAAGCTGCCTGGAGTACGGCAGCTTGCACCTCTTGCGATTTCATCTCTTGCTGGAGCGAAGGCCATACATGCTGGAACCACAGTTTCTGCAATGCGAAAGTACATTTAAAATTTGTTTTCCATTAATAATGACGGCGCGGGGGAGCGCTGTCGACCCCGGGGGAAATAAAGCGTGTACCTTCGGGATGTATGGTAACGCCTCCTTCAATGTCATCCTGTAAAAATGGGTCTTTTGGGTTGGATCCTTCATAGTTATGACATCTAAAAATTGGAGAGCATTGACCGCCGGATCGCTGTAAAGGCGAAATTGATTTATTAAATATGAATAGAATCAATTTCATTGAGATTTTAAACGAACCGAAATTATAAACTTTCTGGCTTTTATTGGATAGAGGAAAATGCTATATGGATCATGCAATTGATTCAAAGAAAATGTATATATATAAATATATATATTATTTAACTGAGCGATCAGTTTATATATCTACATGACTAGACCATTTAGTATTAAAAAACAAACAAAAGTTCTGCACAAGGACATAATCACAACATTTATCCATAAAATCACAGGTGCATTAAAAATCAAGTTGGGAGTATTTATATAGCTTGAACTCTCATTGACACATAATATTAAAACTCTCAATCAGCAATAGCATTCCTTTACTCGGCCAGAAGGGCTTCACACCAAACATTAAGGATGCCCGGCGTATCGCTCTAATCGCTGGTGCACCTTCCATGATCATCAGTTTACACACATAATTCCTGGAGCAGCTTTCTCTTCTAACACTTAATGACACCACATCAGCTTCTACATGTAGAATATTTAATGGACATGTTGATCGATAAAAAACATAATCCAGTCTGGAATGAATAAATAACCTATAAAACATTAACATAGTTGCATGGTCTGATCCCCAATCAAGTTCTGAAATCGCAGTGAGTATGTTTATCCCCTTTTCGCAAGTTTTGATAGTTTGTTCGATCTGTTTATTCCAAGAAAGTTAGCTATCCAGCCATACTCCAAGGAATCTTATTTATTTGACTCATTCTAGCAACACATCCTCCAACAAAATCGGTGGGACGTAGACAGGTTTGCTTCTCGAGAACAGAATGCCCTTGGTTTTCTCCGTTGACATACACATATTTTTGTTCTTTAAAATTTAAAGACCAAGGGTGTGTAGTACTGCTGGGAGTAAATAAGTGCTGATCACGCTCGAGCTTCGGGGAAGATGTTCAGGAGGGCCACCGTCACGCATCGGATGACATCCTGGAGCACGTTGTCTGTCGTAGCATTTAATAGGTGATTTATTTTGTAATTATCTATTTTTCATAAATATCAAGCTTTACAAATTGATTAATTAGAGAGAAAAAACACACAAACATTGATTCAATTAGTTGTCTCTAAACCTGTTGAGTAAGTCTTGCCATTTTATTTACTGCATGGATCAGTTCTGTAGCCAGTTGGTTTGGGTACTTCTCTACCCTGAATGCCGTAGGTCCATATCGGTTTTAAGATAGCTTTATACACCAAACCTTTGTTTTCTATCGGGATACATGAGTGTCTATCTAATAACCAGTCCAGCTTTCTGTCCTCAACTTGAGAATTTTTTCTTAGCTGCAATGTGCGTTTTCCAGGTAAGTCGTCGATCTAGGTCCATGCCAAGGTACTTGGCGTCATCTGCTTGAGGCAGAGTGCAACCATTTAATTGGACTGGAGGACATGCCTGTTGACTCATAGTAAACGTCACATGCACCGATTTAGCTTCGTTTGCTATAATTCTCCATTATTTTAGCCAGTCCTCGATGTTTATAAGGTTTGCTCGGAGCATTTGTGAAGCAGTTGTCAGTGTGCGATGATAAGACTGCAGTATCATCAGAAAATGTGGCCACAGTGACTTGTTGAGATATAGGCAGATCCGCCGCGAAAAGGAGGTACAGCAAGGGTCCTGAAACGCCGCTCTGAGGGCCTCCAGAGAGGATTGGTCGTAGAGTTGTGATTTCGTCATTGTGTTTGACCTGAGAGTGTCTCCCTGTTAAATATGATTTAAAGATGGTATAGTATACGTGGGGAAGACACTTTTTAATTTTGTATGGCAGCCCCTCGTGCCACACCCTAACGAAGGCTTGATATATGTCCAGGAAAGCGGCGGCGGTACCTTCTTTTACTTCGTAAAAATCGCAAAGGCAACCCTAAAGTTCTTGTTGCAACAAACTTAAAAAAGGGTAAGTCTGTATTAGAAGAAGATATAACTATACAAATTTGGTCAGTCACCTGAGTTTTTGGACAGTACGCAAACCTGTTAAATTATACATTCAGAACTGATGCCTTTCGTTAATCTAAAGCTTATTTTTGTGTGTGTACTAGTATGAATATAGTGTAAATGAAAAATAGAGTAAGAAGGATTATAACTGCAGAAAGCAAAAACTTAGTTTATCATGCAGTAGATTATTGATGTAGTTTTACCTAAAGTATTTAATTAGTATCAGCAGTTGTGCCGTGGGACGTTGCCGGGTGTCTCTGGAGAGAAGGCGAGACGTTGCTTCTTGCAGAGGCACAGGTACTCGGGGCAATAAAATGTTTTTCACTTGGTCCTCCAGCTTGAAATTAATTAAGAATAAGTGCATGTAATCTCGGTTCTTCGATTCATAATTAAATTAGAATTTTTTATGGGAATTTATGAACACGCGATGTTTAAAATCCCTCAATCAAAAGCTTCTCTTATATTGCAATCTCCCGAATCGATTATACAGCAACTACATAAACTAACGGCATTCATTTTGTAATTAATAATCAGCTTGGCTTGACCGAGCTACCCTTTTTCATCGAATATTGATTATGCGCAATGCGTTTTGTTGTTAAATTTTATATTTAATATATATATATACATTTATATTACATTTATATATTATACCTACATGACTTAATCTGAAGTTGACTATCATTTATATAAAAAAAATCGCATATATAATTGTGATAATTAATAAATATTTAACGTGACTATAAGTTTTTTCAAGCATAATTTGTTATGGGAACATGCTCGTAATCCAAATTTCTCGATCATTGCGAAGCACATAAAAGAGAAAATTCAATACATTCTTCAGTACCGCTACGACCAATGGGAGAAGCGGAGCAGGCGGCCAAACAATATTGTGTTGTTTATGGACCCAATCCAACAGCAAAGCATTTTATCCAACGCTTCCGTTCTGGCAATATGGACGTCGAAGATGAGACATGATTTGGTAGGTCTAGTCGGACCGGCATGCAAGCACTTATTCCATTGCCCAGGAACTGAAGATTAGCCAGAAAACTGTTTAGAACTATTTGCATAAGGCTGGTATCACGAAGAAGCTCCATGTAGGAGACAAAACGCTTAGAACTTTTTACTTCAACCAATATATTTCCAAAACTCTCGGAGTTTTAGGTTAACGTATAAGAAATACTCGCTCGTTTATCAAGTTAAAATTGAACTTTTTACTAGTCTTGCAAAATATTCGCAGACCATGACATTTGATATTTTCATTTCGTTTTTAAGTTTTATGATCAAATGTGTTTTTAACTAATATCTAAACTAATAACTTATGAGAGCGTTTTATGTACGAATTTTAGTTTTGTCTGAAATTTACTCGCTTAATCAAATATTCCCTTTTCCTATGTTAAGTGTGCATTATATTAAAGATTTTACGGTACAGAATTAACTGCTAATATGCAATTATAACGTTCTTACCAGTTCGAGTTGTTTCAAATAAGCCGAACTCGAGTTTCCAGCCTGTATCAAGGGTCTTCCATTATTGAATATTGCACATATTACCATTCCCAATGAAAACATATCGCTCAATATGCTGGACACCGATGATATTTGAGTTTCGGGCGCTGAAACAACATTAATAAATGAATTAGTCTTGAATCATAAAGAGATTTTATAACGTAATTATAATATAATTCATCCCTCATTGATTTATATATTTTCTGTATCTTTATATATTTTCTATCCTAATATTTTTTTCTATGTAGAATACAAATATAATGACAGTTAATCATTATTGCACAACAGAGGTTAAAATTATTGTTATCATTATAATTGAAATTAGATAATCAAATATTACTAAATTATAATGTTGCATCCACACTACAAGGACTAAAGACCTAAATCAAACATACAAAATTTTACTGGTTATCATTACTATTAAGCTAAAACCGTTAAAACAGTTAATAAATAAGTATAGCAATAACTGGGATTATTCGAGGGTAATTGGGTTTACCAATATTTCGTGCTGAATAAGTGCAGAATAATCGATGATTTTAGAACCGATATTAAAAATAATAAAGTGATTTGATTATATTAATGAAAAATACCATATGCCAAATATTTTTTATTACATTAGAAGTTTTTCAAAAAGTACAATTTTTGTAAAAATAGTGTATGTATTTATATTTATTTTTAAAAACTTTATTGACATCGCTTCATTGTTTTTACATTACATTTTTAGGCAATCATTTCACTTTATAAAACTGAATATCATAAATTATTATTAAGCCTAATGTAGTTGTATTTCTTTTGGCAATACTAGTGTAAATACTTACATACAAATGACGTTTTGTACTCCACTTTCAAGACATTAACGTACAAACAATTTTAGCGCGTAGTCCGTTCGTAAAACATGGCTAATTCAAAAATATTATCAGTTATCAGTTACTTGCATGACGTCGTATGCTAATTTCTATGTGTAGAAAAAAACACAAAATTTGTCTGAACACAAATTTGGAAAATGATGTAGCAGGCACACAATCCGAGACTTCTCTTCTCCTCGTCACTCATACGAAAAGTCGCTCGTTAAGCGAGTAGATTTATTACAATTTGTTTTGCTCGTTATGCGAATTACTCCTTATGCGAGGTGCTATTTATTTTAATTTTGTTGAATTAAAATTTATTCTTCTGATAATGGCAAATAGTATAATAAATGTCATCTGTAACGTAACATTTAAAGAATAACTCAAATAGATACAAATTTTGATTTTTGAAAAAAATGGAAAAAAACTTCATTGACTTCACTTCGTTATTTTTTTAAATTATTACATAGCATTCTGTAGGTACTTTAAATAGAATAATGTATAAACAATGTTTAAATATAAAAAATTAAGATTGGATTATTTATAAAACTTAATTGCTGATAATCCTAATTTAATGGTGTTTCTTTTGGCAGTAGCATTATACATACTTACGTATAAATGTGGCTCTATACCCCAGTTTCAAGACATTAACGTACAATTAATTGTGACTCGTAGTCCGTTAGTAAAACATGAATAATTTAAAAATATTATCACTATATCTTACTATATGGTGTATGGTCATTTTTGTATGCACTGTGACCAGTAAGTGAATTTAATAAATATTTTAATAAAGATAAATAATTTAGCACCCTTATATTTATATTTGTGAGAATAATCGAATAATTTCTATATTTCTATATTTTTCACAGCAAATAAGGAAAATAACAATCGCATTTAGACGTCTGGTACAGATTTGGGGACTTTGAATGAATATCGGCGGAAAAATCAAAAAAATGTCATAAAGGTAATCCCTCGTAAATACGATTTTGCTTAACGACAATAAATGCGATGTTCAATTAGGATACATCTGTCAAAATCTCACTAATGTGTATTGCGCAAAACAAACTTTCTCCGAATATTAACTTTTTGATATCAAAACCCAATTCAGTTGGTTCCGCGAATATCTCATACTATTTGAAAGCGGACTTATCGATACATATAAAAAACACACAAAATAGATTTGTACTGAGAAAAAAAAATATGTACAAAAATAATATTATGTGCTAATTTTTATTTAATTTGCTCAATTAATATTTAGCTTGTTTTTAAATTTTCAAACCGTATTGTGACAAATAAAATAACATGTTTATGTTGACATTAAACCTACATAGGATTGTATTTTTTTTTTCATTCAAATATTTTAATATTTCTACAATAACGTAACAAAATGTAACTGTAAATAATAGGAAATATCAACATTTGTAGAATTACGCAAATATGCAACTAAATTTAACTTTAGATGCGTATGCGTATGGCGTATGGAAAAAATAATTTGGAAATTTATTATTAGTAAATTTGTTAACAATTTTCTCAAATGTTTTCAAATTTAAATAATAATAAATAAATCAATTTAAAAAATCTATTAATATCAAATAAATGTGTGCCAAATATATATAAATAAAATATTAATAAATCAAAATATTATGAACATTTATTGGTATTTTTTGGCAACAGGAATATATATGCTAACATGTAAATATAAGTTTCACCTTTACTCACTTCTCATAAACATAGAATATTTTACTGCACATAGACCGTTCGAGAAACATGGGTCTATCAAAAATATCATCAATTTATCTATTTATCTGGTGTCTGACACTTTTAATTTGCAGTGAGAGCAGTAAGTAAATTTTTATATAAAAATTTTCAATGAAGAGATAATTATACAAAATTACAGATGCAAATTCCGATATCTGCATCGAAACAATCCGATTGCCCAATGTTTTGAATTTAGGTAACAAGACTTACTTCTTTGATATGAATAATAAGGTGAGTGTACTAAATTCATATTTGAAATAGCAAATTTTGTGAATAGTGTACATTATATTTATTATTTTGCTAAGCTAAATTGGATCAGCGCCAACTTGGCTTGCAAACAATACAACATGGAGCTGGTAGCGATTGATACTGATGAGGAATTTGATTTTCTTCTTGTTTATATTTGTAAGAATTTTATTATATTTTTGATTATTTTATTTATATGTTAATTGATTTTGTAGCAAAAATGGGTATTAACTCTCACATTTGGACGTCTGGTACAGACTTGGGAACAGAAGGCGAATATAAGTGGATGAGCAATGGTCGTAGCATATTTTCGAACAGATGGCACAAAAATCAACCGGACAATGCGGGTTCAGCAGAACATTGCATTCATTTTTTAATTCGCGATGGTTCAATTTTACTAAATGACTATAAATGTGATATTAAAATGGGATATATCTGCCAAAGTATCACTAAAACATATTGCGGAAAACAAACTTATTCCGAATGTTGATTACATTTTAAAATTATTTTTAAACCCGACATTAATAAAATATTTACAATCAGTTTATAATGATAGAAATAAATTCCTAGCGGAAATTTTTCTAAAAAAAATGTAAAAACAAAATAATATTAAATTTGACATAAATAACTATTTTTCAATATATTTTGGGGTCAAGCGTTTGATGTCTTTTTAGTCTATGGGTATTTTCACCGTTGCCTAATAATATATTTATCCAATCTATTTTGATACGCCCTAAATATTGAAATTTCATTTTCACAACTACATAATTTTTAATGTGTCACGATATGACTGTTGTAATTTTTATGCGTCAAAAAATTTAACATATTTTTTATAAATCTGATCGCAACAAATATGAAAAATAATTATCAGATTTTAACGTATGGTACAGATTTTGGGACCGAAGGTAAATACAGGTGGATGAGCAATTGAAAGTTAGTATCAACTCCTTGAGAATAAAGAGGTTCGAGATAAACGTGATTAAGAAAATCATCAATCTTCACTATCTATACCCCAGCGCCCAACTTTACCACCTCGTCACTATCCCCAAAATCTTCGAAATCCTCAAAAAAAAATCCAATTTTCACTTTCCTTAACACCGTAAAACTAATGTTCCTGCCTCCATCAATCGCTCACGACCTAATTCAAAAACCCAAAACTAAACCTTACCCCAAACAAGAGCATCGACACACCTTATCTTTTTTTTTATTAGTTCTCTTTTTTGTTCTCTAAATGAGCAACAGCCCGCAAGTAAGCCATCACCAGAATAGTATAGTTTAAGACATATGTAAGATTTTATCATCAATAAACGTCAAGTTAAGTTAAAAATATGTAAGTTAATTGTTCATTATGATTTTAGAATCTGAAGCAAAGTATACTAGAAAAATTTTACATTTGGCAAACAAAAATAATATATAGCAATATTCAACTTGGAATACGTAACTTTTTATGATAAATTGGTTTCTAGAATATAACTAAAATATTCTAGAAGTTTATTGTTAAAACATCATAAACTTAAGAAGTTTTCAGTAGCGAAACAAATACGCCTGAATTCAAAAGCGTGGCTAAATCTTATTAATTTTATTAAAATAAATAAATAAATAAAATTTTAAGTTCCTACTCTTAGTTGTAGTAGAAAATTTAAATAATTAATAACAAAGTTTATTGTTGATATCCAGCAAAAAAACTTTAGTTTTAAATCCCAGGTTTTTTTTTCATAAAAGATGAGAAGAACTTTTATTTAATAAGATTCCATATGTTCTACCGTTATTCTAAATTAAGACTTATTTAAGCTCAGTGTACATTGATTTTTTATATTTTTCTTTATTGTATAAAAATTTGGTGCATTGCAGTTATTTAAAGTGTCATTATAATTATAATTTTACCAATTAACTATAATGATTTAACATTGATGTTGGTTTTCTATTAAAACTTGACTTTGCTCAAAAATCATTCAAAGGTCATAAAATATGGTAATTTTGTATCAATTTCAAAATGTTCATCATAATTTTACAAAATAGTCAATGTTTAAGAAAGCTGCTTTATAATCTTTCCCTTCTAAATCTACTTCTTTACCTCATTAACACTATCAAAAACCTACTTGAAAATCGTTCAGTAAAAGTTAAAATCAGCTATTCCTTTACCAGTTCCTTTAAATTTATGTTATTGTATACATTTATTATTTTTGTAATAATATCTGAATTACTAGAACAAAATGTATAAAAGTATGATTTCTAATTTACGTAACGTATCTATCTGTATAATTCTGTTAAACACATTAAGTTAATTGAAATATGTTGGAGAAAATAAGATAGGACAACCAATTTTGCTGGTCCATCGATAATTTTAATTCCACGCTGTGTAACACTATTAAAATGAGAATTCCGATGCATTACAACTTCTCTGTGATGCTGCTAAATTGGAATTGGTGCCAAAACCGCAGTCAATATGCTAGGTGCGTATGCTGCCTGAGACATGAGTCGGTTGTGTTGGGGATTACAATCGAACATTCGGTTTGTTCAATTGCCAAACAGATTCAGAATTTGTCGGCCAGCATCATTCGATATTGAAATCACGTAACAGTTTCTGTGCAAACGCATAAATCACACATTTGAAGTAAATTATTATTGTTGACAGTTGATTTTATTATTAGTGCTTAAATATTTCTAAAAACAAAATATTATTAAATCATTAGTATATTAATATTTTGTATTTGAATTTAATTTCTGAAAATATATTTATAGGAAACACAAACAAAGTGATAATAGTAAAACAATGTGATTAAAGTCCCAAACAGCAATGAAGCAAACTATATAAGATTATGTTAAATGAAATGTATATAAAGAGATATAAAAAATAGTATTTGTGAAATTATTATATAAGTTTTGCCACTTCATTTTAAAAAAATATGAGAAAGGAACACAAGGCCGTTTGGTAGATTTTCTGAGTATGATGCAAGTCTTCGAAATGCCACCCATTACATCTTTCGACTTCCTATTTTTTTTGTGTGAACACTGTTATGCCTTACTGTGTTGCTTGGTGCGTCTGTATTTTTGCATACTACCACTACAAGGCCTTTTATTATAGTTTTCACTAAAATGTGAAAACACTACTTTTTCGAGCGTTTATTTTTCATTTTTTCAACTTTTAACGCGAATTTCAGCCAAATTACATTCCCAAAACATCCAGCTTTTACAAAAAAAATATCAATAAAAAAATAATTTCAAGAAAAAGTGAACATTTATGAGTAGAACCAATGTTGTTGAAATTTTATTTTAGTGAAAAATGCTGTAATTGAAGGAGTGAAAATAAATAATAATAATAAAATTGATTGCAATAATAAATTACCAAAATATAAATTTAACATAATAACAAAAATTAAACTGCTGCAATTCAAATATTATTATTATATAATAGATAATTTTTGGTATAAATTATATAATTTAATATACGTTACTTGACTTACACGAAGTCTATAATAACACGATCAACAATTATGACAACCCTCGCTACTTTAAATACATGTTTAGGTATAATTTTTCAGAATTTTTAATAGTATTATTTTTTTTTCCGTTGAACAAAGTAATTGATTTGCGAATACCCAATTATTAATTTGGATTTCATTAGAATAGTTTTTCTTGTGTTTATCAGAAACCATGTATCAACGAAATATCAGCAAATATTTAAATCTAATTAATTATAATAAACTATAAAATAATTTACGAAAAGTTAAAACTAAATTGTAAACGATTTAATGTATTTATTTTAACGTTATTGTATAATTATATACGTTTAAAGCAGATGCCATACAATAATAGATCAATTTAAATATTTACTATATAATCAATGTATTTTATTACAAAACAAATTACAGTAGAATTTTCCACTGTAGTAAATTTGTTGTCAACCAACAAACAAAAACAGCTAAAATAATGCAGAATTGCCAATATACATTGTAACAGTAAATAACAATTTACCGTTTAGCAGATATACAATTTCACCTACAGTTTAATATACATTTGTTTCAATGACATTTATATGATTAATTTAACGTTAATATTAATTGAATATAGCGCAAGTATAATTCGAAGCCAAAGTAATGAAAAATAATTACATCTGCGAAGCGTAATTCAATGAGCTTAAATGTTATTAAATATTAGAGGTGTGAGTTATTATTCAATCTATATTCGCTATGGATTTTCGTCTAGCCTTTCAATTTTATTTAGTGCGTAATACATACATTTGTTTAGTTAACATTCATATGATTAATTTAACGTTCATTAAATGCAGCACAAAAATATCGATTCCTAGTAAATTCAATTATAATTCGAAAATAATTCTATGTGTGAAGTGTATTTGAAAGAGCTTAATATTAAATTTTGCGTTATTATTTAATATTTAAAATTACGTCATCGAATAATGCATTTTTTCACCAAGCTATTCAATTTGATCTTTTTTTTGAGAGCAAATGAAATCTTGCATTTAGATCACGGCAGGAGCCGTGATACTGTGGGATTTCTACCCACTAAAACCTCTCCCCTTCTTCATCAGTATCCAGGTATCCAATCAGTATCAGTATCAGTATCCAATACTTTGATATTTATTCGCAATGTTGATTATGTTTTCTAGCATATCACTTCAACATGTGTTGGTCTCTACTACCAGTTTCTTCCTAGGTCATTTCCAGCCTCTGCTTGTTATCATCCTTAGTGGATAAATATCTTAGAATTTCATCATAGAAGGTTTATAGTACTAGTAATTCTCAAAAATTTGTTTTCGCCTCATACTTCATCCTTGTCTATCTGCAGCACCTGAAGAACGTGTGTTTCAACTTTTTTTATATTAGCGATGAAGTACACATATCCGGAAAGGGCTTGGCTCAGATGGAAAGTTGTTTCAAAGTGCTTTCAAAATGTTTTTTCAGAATAATTTAACGTTCATTAAATTCAGCAGACAGGCATAAATTCCTAGTAAATTCAATTATAATTAGAAAATATATATAATTAATTTAATTAACGTTCATTAAATTAAACACAAAAGTATCGATTCAACGTAAATTTAATAAAAATTCGAAGTACAATGTTACTTTTTCGGTTTTTTTCCTGTTATTGGAATAAATATAATTTGAGGAGCTTTTCAATAGAAAATGCATATTCTTTTGGGGAGATCCTCATATGTCAAATGGTTGACATATGAGTAAAATTCCAAAAAAATTGATTCATCACGAACATTTTTTAACAGAATTTTGAAGAAATTTCGCTTCAACTGCTGTTCCCATTTCCTTTAAAAAATTAATTATTTATGTATTTTTTTTTATTTATTTAAAACTTAATAAATTATTCTATTTAACATGTAAATTTTTAATATAATAAAAATATTTATTGCAACAATATATATACATTTGTTTAATTTACATTTATATTAATAATTTAATGAACAATTCGGCACAAAGGCATGGATTCCTAGTAAATTCAATTATAATACGAAAATAAATGAGGGCAAAATAATTACATGTGCGAATAGTGTAAAGTTCAATATCATTAATATTTAACGGTCTGAGTTATTTGTTATACATATGCGTCATCAAAGAATGCAGATTTCCATGTATTAATATAATCCAATAGATAAAAACAATAATATATCTGAACAAATTGCATTCATTTACGTTGTTCATTTAATAATGTATATGGTCACGTGAAACGTCAGACTAATGTTACGCCACTGTTCATTCGGTTTTATGTCTGTGCTTTAATTAAACCTCTTCGCTTGCTTTGGAGAACTAACGTCTGCTTGATTCAATTTAAATTTCTATGAATTTTTGTAAAATGTTTATTTTACACGATGCTTTGAAAAATATTAAAAACATATCTTTTTTTTGTCAATATTATATGTATAGTAATATTCGTGATGTTCTAACTTGCAACAGACTATGCAAATGTATACTGTATAAATTGTATAGCGATTAAAACTATATACTTCATGTTTAATGAATAATATTGTGCTATTCAGAAACACATTTTTTTTATAATTACGTAATTTAAAATCTACTAGATGTTTGTAATCTTAAATTAGATACACACAACACCTTAAATTGTACCAAATAATTAAAAGACAGGGTTTAATGGTGCAAAAAAGTTTTAGTTGTAAATCATACAACAGGTTAATGTCACAAAAATAAATCGTGTCAATTATCGAAGCAAAATATGTTTTTATCATTTGGAGAAAATTAAGTAATAAAAGACTGCGATCAGTAGCCGTAACAATCAATTTTGTTTATTATTAAATATGAAAAGTGAATATTAAAATGTCTTTCTCATATATGAATGTAATGAAAATTGATTCTAGATATCTTTTAACCCTCTGTTGCATACTGTTCCCAAATGGAAATTTAACATAATATCGATATAATGAGATCCAGCCATTGATATTTTTGCAGTTCATTTGCAAAGTTTGTTGTGACAAATGGCCAATGAAGTGAACTTAATTGTTTGACTTGACCGGCCACCTGTTAAGGTTTGAAAGAATATACATAAATTCAAGCAGGGCTTCCCAAAGTATTCCTTCATCGGAACGTTTCATAAATTCTAAAATTTTCACGGAACACCTATATTTTATATAATAACAAATAATCAATCAAATTTTAAAAAATGAGAAAAAAACATTAATTATTTCTTTAACTTTCCGCGGAACATACTTTGGGAAACCCTGCAATAGAGGCTTAAGAATGGTGATTATCTGTGAAAAAAGAATGAAGAAAATAAATCTATACATAATTGAATAAAACGATCCATAAATCTTACCTGTGTAGTCCAAATACGGTTGCGCCATTTTTGACTGCCTGGATGTCCACGGTTGACAGGGCACCGGTTCCACTCCGTCGATGTCGCTTACACGCTCTGCGAGAAAAGAAAATGGAGAAAATCCTTTAATAATAATAATAACGACGAAACGATTTCCTGTCAAACATGATAACGGAAACAGAAGCATACGTGTTTGCGGACAATTATTTTATGAATTAAGAGCCACACCATTCAAGAACAGATATTGAGCGTAGTGAATAAACGTTTTTGGCAGATAGAAAATATTTACTCAACGAGTTGTCGCAGTGTGCAATAAGAACCCACTTCGATTTTATCTTAAATAAATACTAATACCACAGAAATATTAATTGACTCATCTCCATCAAAACAAGGCATATTATATTAAACAACATTATATTAAATAATGCCTCTAATGACATAAAATAGTACAATTGGCTCACTTAACGTACATATTGTTAAATTGTGTTTGATATTATGTACACAATTATATATAACCGATGTAACGTACACATTTCTGTACTAATGTAACATGATGTTATTGGGAGGTTCTACTGTCGTATCCCAGTAATGGAATTCTGGACACAGTGGAATATGGTCTGGTGTTGTCGTTGTGGAGTCTCAGTCGTAGGAATTCAGTTGGTTTTAAACAAGTTTATTATAATAATTGGTACTCTTGTGGTCCTTTCCAAGACAATGCAGATACTTTAAAAGATTCGTCATCTTTGACGGTTTTACTGAGACTAATTCTAAATTCTTATTCTACTCACAAAAATAATTCTTATTAATACGGGGTGGGAGTTGTAATTTGTAGTAGGGACTAGGATTTGTATATATTGATGATTAAGCGTTCCCACGGGATTCGGCCTTGGTGGTTTTGATTATTATAAGACTGATAAAAAATCCTATGCATTTGTTTATACGAAAAAGATGATCGATTACGATTGTACGTGTAATGATCATTATATGTTTATAATAAGGAATTCAATTCGGAGTAAAGGTATAGGAGTATCGATAGGTATGTTTACGCTTGGTCCCTTTTGTTTGGATTCCTTTATGCTGATGTATATGTTTATGTAATAATGCGACTAAGAGACGCCGTGGATGTCTCTACTTCGTTAATACACTATATGAATAATAACAATTATAATAATAATGGTTGGACACAACACTACATTCAAATTGATTAATTCATTTTTCTTTAATTTAATAATTACATGTCTTACTTTAGCGTTTTTCTACCTATCGCTACCCAAAATTACCCTATTAGTATAAATTTTCAAAATATTGTAATATTCGAAATCATAGCTTTATTTAGTTAAGTTTCTTCTTGTGTGGTTAAGTTTTGAATTAGTCCAGTCTTGAACTACGAGAAATTTTAGAGTATATAAGATCTTTTCGGGTATACAAAAGAAATATTAAAAAATTAATATGCAATGAAAATTCAAGAATACATATGCTCTTGTTAAGTGCACGATTCTGATCACCCCCTTAATTGTTGTATTTTATCACTTTACTTTATTTTTTATAGAAACATATTTGAATTAAAATTTATTTCATACATATTTATTAAATTCTGCTTTAAAGAGTAATACAATATTGCTCAATTAGTGGTCCCCATTTGTTTGCTTTTCCATTATACATGACAATATTTTATTTTACAAATCATTTGACTTTTATTAATTATTTGTTTTATTTCATATGTTATTATCGCACCCATGATATATTTTCAATAGATTTATAAAAACCATACATAAAAGTAAATTCTTCAAATGCAAGCAAAAAAATCTCCCTTGTATATATTTTTTAATGCACCATTGTATATCCATTTTATATCGCGAACTAATTTGCGGAAACATCAATGAAAGACGATAGTTTATTTTAATTATTAATTTTATAACAACATAACATTTATAAATTTAATACTTTCAATATATTCATGTAGCAATATGAAAACGAAATAAACAGTTTCGAGTTTATTTATATTCTGCATCGGTTTTTTTTGTAGTATAAATATTTCATCAATATGGGATTAACGACAGATTAAAAAAAGAGCCCAACATAAAATACGCAAGAGTATTATATTTTCCATTCAGTTTGTTTTGATGATGATGCTTGGGTGGAAATCGGGTTTCGTTGATCGACCGAATCGAATGGAAGTCGTTAAAAAATGGAGAGCCCCCATTACCGGTAATTCATCTATATATGCTTGCGTAATTGGCATCTTCCCGTTTTGTTTATTGATTTTCCTCTTTCGCAATTGGCTATGTAGGTCAATTCAATTATACTTCGGTTTAAAAGAGAGGAAATAATGACTGTGTCAAAACATTTTATTGGTAATTACACACCCTCATTTCCAATTAATTATACTATAACAATATATTTCTTAGTAATTAAAGCAATCCATTGATTGAGTTGCGTTTTTCTTTTGGAAAAGAATACAGCATAAAATGATGACAATTGTCGATCTTTTCTTCTATTTCATTTTACACAAGGTCACAAAGTAGATAACAAAACTAAATAAACTTTACACTACTTTACAATGTATCGTTATCAAAAGTTCTTGTTACTAAAACGTAACTTTTTTGCATGAAACTTACGGTACTGGTTTACATTTATTTTACTCGTATCGTCGTAACTCTATATTTATTGATATAAATGTAAATATCAATATTCTTCAACTGTTTTTCTAAATGAACATTCCAACTAAATTATAAATAAGATTGATAAGACACATTCCAACAAATTGCAAGTGTGTAATAATTTACACATAATTTGTAACAACAGAACGCAATCCAAAGTAATGAAAATTTGATGATGATATTAATATTAATCAATACACATTTATGCGTAATTGCAAAATAATTATTTTTATTTTTATAGCATCATGTACGATTAATAATTGTTTATTTAAATTAAAATTATTCGTTTCGTTGCGTCCCGAGCGCGTTTGCAACTTGCACAAATACAAAACAAACTGTGTTTTCTGTTCACAATTTGTTATGCGTTATTTATTATTCAGCATTTTCCGAAAGAATATTAATTATTCAGTACGTTTCAATTTATTCTATGTTCCAATAATTAATATTTTTCACCAAATAAAATATCGCTGTAATCATCACTTGATATAAACTAATTACAGTTCTGTTTATCGTTTCACATTTTTCCATCATATTGAACGAGGTCATAAAGTGTATATAGAAATAAAAAAAAAATAGTTTAACGCGATGTCAGTTGAAATATATATATATATATTATTTCGCAATGATAGAGAACATTTTTCGCAGCTGGTGGAAAATTGAATTCGGAATTTTGTTAATTCATATCGCGGTTCATATTTTAAATTTCCGTAATTGAAAAATAACAGAAAATATTTATACTATTTATTCAATTCAATATTTTATTTTCAACTGTGATATTTTTTTTCTTATGTCAGAGAATTTTTATTTTACAATATATTCCTGCGAATATTAATTAAACTAATGGCGGTTGACATTTCTTTTTTTGGTAAACTTACCATTTGAAATTTTACCGTTATTTTTTTTTTAATTTGTTGGTTGGCTGTCGTCTTGTAGGTTAACTTCAGTAGTATATTGATATGTTGCGATTCCGCTATTCCCTTTGTCTGTGTATCTGCTGCTATCATTAACACTGTCATTGTCCATCGACTTAACTGAAGGTCCATATGCTGCACCTCATTAATTTTACTGTACTTTCAAAATGAACGATGGCCCTATTGCTGCAAGCACCGATAGAGCTCACAAAGGGCCTGGCTTGACCAGGATTCGAACCGGCGCCCACGGAATCGTCGCCCTAACCGTAATAAATAAAAAAGATTTATGTTTGTGAAATATTTCATTTATAAATACAGATATCTCCCAACGAACTCCCGGACTTACGAACAAAATTCTAAAAGCTCTAACTTATAAAAAAAAATGAAGTGTCCAAACAAAAATTGGTAATTTCTTTAATAAAATATAATATTTTTGGAAGATGTACTATCTGTTTTGTTGCATTTATTTCTTTTCTCGTTTTTTATTAAATAATTGTGATGTCTACATTTAAAGTATTTGTAAGTATTTTGTTTATTACAGTAATATGGAATTTAACATAACATATATAAAAGTAAAAATTTGATATTTTTTAAATTTTCATAATATTTTCATATTCAAGGATGTTGTGACTTCTAATCTTAATAAGTAGAATTAAATAGAAATTATTTAGAATTATGTATATAACATACTTAGTTCAAAGAAAATTAAAAAAAAACTTAGAGAAGTTTTTATTATTTTACTTGATACTATATATCTTGACTGGATAAAAAGTATTGAGAAACGTTAATCTAAAATTATAATTAAATCGGATACTCATATATTATTGAAATTAATTTAAACGTCTTGCACTTGTTAAGAAGCTAAATTTTTATATTCTCCATAATTTGAAAGAGATTCACTTAACACAACGAATCAATATTTGTGATGTGCATCTCAAACACAATTAAATTTCTAGTGATAAAAAATGATCGTCTACAATAGGGTTCCTCAGGTTTTTTGCATTTAAGAGCACATTATAGAATGTAAGTCGGGTTATTGCAAGAAGGAACCAAATGATATCTCCAGGTATTAATGTATTGTTGACAACTAATGAAACTGGAGGAAGTAATCAAAGAAAAACGGCCAGAAAGATGATTTTTTGTCTTCTTAAATTCTACTATTTAAATATGTGCGTATTATATTCACTTACTTTAAATACAATATTTTCAACAGTAAATAATTAGACGTGCATTTTCATTTTATTTTACAATTACCATTTTACAATTATTATTTATTTAATAATTTCTATTGGTCCATTTAGAGCCAAACGGCTAGTATTTTCGTATGTAGAGAATATAGTTAAAAAACATGAACATAAAATAAAAAAAGATAATTGTGCACTAAAAAATGAAACCAACAAAAGCAAACATTCTAAATTGAGCAAAATTATAAGTAGAATGTAAATAAACAAGAAAACCTTCACAGAAAGAAAAATACTCTATCATAATAAATGAAATAATGATAAAGATAAAAATAAGAGGCTAGGTGTTACTATAAACCTTTAGAAAATTATATCATTAAAAAATAAATCCAAAATGTAAATCAATAATGTACGAAACATAACGCTGCTCCGCTTAAATGGAGGCCACGAAAGTACAATACAATTAATACCACCTTGGATGGGGGTTTTGCGAGTAATTAATACCTTCAACTTAGTTTAATTAAACATTTTCCTGACGCTTAAAAGAATATCGAAATACTTTGGATACTCTGGAAAACGTGGGCCGACGAAATGTAAAAGAAGAAGCGGCCGAGGATATTAACATAATAAACTATTCTCTTAATTTGGTCTACTTCATTATATAGCACGCCGCCTGCCTGCAGAAAAGTTTCTCATGAAGTTTCTTATGCAGATTATTTCACAAACAATGTATCAAGGGGGAGATTTGCTTACATAATTCCTGAAAGTCTTTTGCAATACGTCGGAGACGGTATTACCTTTTTTCTTGTCTTCGCACAATGCGGATCTTCAAAATGAACTCGAATTTAATGTCGTATACAGCGAGTTCCATGCATGTAAAGGATGTACACGACGCCGATCAAAGGACGACGGTGGCTGCATTTTGCGGTATATTGGAAATTACATTAAGTTTGCAGTCGGCTGTGGCCCTATCTGGGGTCCAATTAAACTATTAATATAATTAATTTGCAACTATAAATTATTTGCGCAAACATACATAGATTGAAACTCAATTAATTTAATACAATGAGAGAGCAATTCAAATAAACTTTACCTGCAGATTATGTACGCGTTTATCAAATCTATTATTACATTTTGCACAGTAAATATTGTTTCATTCATTTTATAATTACTACTCAAATGCATACATGATAATCCTCGAAAATTATTTCAGTTAGTAATTATTTTATTATAACATTACGGCCTTCCTGAGGTTTTATATACTTAATGTTTTTACTTGTTTTATTTACCATATAATAAACTGTATACATCAAGATTTAATATTCGACCAAAAACAATCTATAATATATCATTAATATGAATATTATCTTTTTTTTTTAATTACAATCTAATAATAAATAAATATTGTTTATATTCACTATTTGATTAATACATACATTTAAGACTTGTGTATAAAGATGTTAGGTTTTACTTTAAATCTGACACCATTTCGCACTTCAACAGTCTCGAGAGTTTGAATGAATTGTAGAACGGGAAACTGGCTCGACTTCATGACGTTAAGTGGCTGCAAGGACTCTTAACAATCTTCTCGTAGTGGTGTAAGATTGATAAAATATAGGATCTGGGAGGAATTACATTTATTCCTTAAATAATTTATCAAATTGTCCTTTACAAAATAAACTACTTAATATACCTACTTAAATAATAACAATATTCAATTTCCTAAAGTATATATATATATTAATAAAGATGAATGAAGCAATACCACGCTACTAGCGGGTAACAAATATATTAAAAAAAATACTGAAAATTTGGCTATATAAAGGAATAAAAAAACAATAAATTAAATGTAAAAAAAAAGTTTACTAATAACATAGATCGGACTACAGTGCATCGGAATTAATAGCAGCACTACTGCATTCCAGATTAATATACTACATATATTAATACCAGGACGAAGAGTATACATTTTTATTTATGGTAGAAGAATGGAAATATCTTAACCCAAGATGAAAAACCTATAAATTTATTAAAAATAAATTGATTCAAATTTTATTTATACGAAAATAAACTATTTGCTATCAAGTGAAACTTATTGATTTGATTAAGTTCCGACTCATTTCAATATAATTCCAAAACTGGAACAGATTTGAAAGCAATAGTATTACAAGTTTATATACAGAAGTTGAAAAACATTTTTGAATAGCTTTAAATTATTTTTTGATAGTTATTATTTTCATTGACATAGACCGGTGTCTGGGTGCATGATTATAGTAATTAGACCTGTAGTTACCATGTGGTAATCAATATAGATTGTCTTGACGTAAAGTTGATTGATGAAATAACTTTTACGATAGAGCGGATGCAGTTTGTGTGCGGTTATTATCCTCCAGCAATTAGATATTAAACATTTTACTATATTGTCTTTATACAAGTACACTTACTTAGCTGCAATTTATTACAATATTAATATTATTAGTCTTGTTTAAAAATATATAAAGGTTCAACAAATTTAGTAATATTCAAATATCGAAGTTGCACAAATGTCTTTCAAAATTAGGAATAGTAGAAATTGTTGAGCGGAAAGACTTAGGTCGATACAATTATGACTAATAAATATTATTATTAGAAATTGTTTGACTTATTTCTTTAAAATAGTTATACTTGTTAAAACAATAACTCGAATAATGCAATTTCGATCACTTCGAATTCACTGTAATCCAGTTTAAACATTTAAAAAAACTAAATTTTAATTGACAAAATAGTAATAAATTCTAAAAATAATATAAAAAATATTTATGTATAATGGTTTATTGCTCATTATACAGTCAAGACTCTTTTTATGTGGTTTTAAAGATTTAAAGTACTATGCGAGGTATTGTTGTAGTTTCAATACGTCTGTCTATAACATAGTAAAGATAGAGAAAAGGTCAAATTGTGTTTTGCAGTTTACATTTTGTGAACGCGTAATATTTGAATATGAGTTCATGGAATGCATTGGCGCGGAGAACTCGAATTGTCAACGAAGTCTTAGGCAAGGATGTGGCAAATGAAAGCTGCAATGGAAATGGATACACCTTATACTACGTGTGAATTATCAGTAAGGTGTGACGTTACTATTTTAACAATATTTAATCATTTAAAACAAATCCTTAAGGTAATGTTCGACAATCGCAAGCGTTTGGCATAATTATTGCTTGGTAACAAGATAAAGTTGCTGAAACTGTCACAAACCGAATTACTCAGACTTTACACCAACTGACTACCACTGTTTCCATGCATTAGATCACTTCTTGCAATTCCGAACAAGCTATAAAAAATGCCTTTCGTCGTTTTCGCTTAACTAAACTTTCAGTTCAAAATCGGACGTTTCATACTTAATATAATAATATTGGGTTGCCCAGAAATATCGTGCCGTTTTTCACTATGCGTGGATGCATGAATATATCAGAATTGTTAAAAACATATTCTTTACAAAAAAGCATAAAGATGGAAGAAAACAAAGTGCATCTTTGATACTTTTTTTATTAATGTAAATCCAAAAAATTTCCCTGAAGCTATAACCAAGAAAAGTTCTGTTTACTTTAGATGAAAGAACTGTGCGAATGCTTTGTGATTTCAGATCAAGCGTAATGTCTGCTAATAATAATGATGAAATGAAGACATCGATCGGGTACAACCCGCACTACAAGTGAATTAATTAATAGATCAAAGTGTTATATATTATACATAATTCAAATAATATAATTATTACGAAGAGTGTATGTTAATTTCAATAATTTTACGATGATCTTATATAAAGAGATACGATTGAATAACATTTGTTAAATTTAAGGCTTAATTTTTTACTCACCGACATTCGCTTTTACGGCTTATATAATAAAGATTACCGAACGGGTTGAATATATATTAATAGGTTTGCCCGGGGTGACGATGTGTTTTTCATGCAAATAAAAGTGCTTCGTGCAGATTTGATGTGAATATTAATAGATCGTTAATTTTCGAAGATAGTTCCATTATAATTGGTGCCGGGTCGTGCCGTTATTGGAATTAATTGCTTCCGCGTCTCGTGTATCCGGAAACTTTAAGCCATCTTGTTTCCGGGATCCGACGTGATAATAACATAATTTACAAGCAACAAGTATATACATAACATATATACACATACACCCAGGGACAAAATACGTACATTCAACGAGACTATAGGCGGTGACATTGGTGAAATAATACTATTTACCTATAAACTCCAGTCCGGCCAGCTTCCAAGTTCCCTTCTTTGTAATTAGTATACTCGCAGGGCAGACGTTCCTGTGTAACTGGTGGCCGGTGTAATGCAGGAAGGATAGGGCCTCTGTGATCTGCAATTAGCGAGAACAATAATTAGATTACAGATAATTAATGGGGAGTTGAATAAATTGTATTTTGGTAAACAACACTCTTCAAATCGACGAAAACCAGTGCAGTTACTAATGTTATGCTAATAGTAAGTGCTTTATGTTTGTGCAAATTAAAATAGCAACAGAATTAATAAAAAAGGAACAGTTTAACCTATTTTGCGCGCGTTAAACTAATTGCGGATGCGCCGGGTGGAGCTGTAATCGCACCGGTTAGAACGATTTTACGGAAATCGTATCTAATGTTCGGAGCGAGTTATTTACGAGTTTAATTACTACTCTCTATAAATATTATCGTTTATTGCATAATCCCGGCTACAACCATCTTCTAATTACATGCGATCTATTACTATTTAACGAAGAAAAAAATCAAATGAACTAAATAATTATTTAAGGTTCTTTATGAATTAGTTTTAAATGATATTTATTTGGTAAAAATTCACTAAGAAAATTCGCAATTGTACAGTTAGAAATATAATTTATAGCATAAGTTATTCAAGTATATATTACATCAAATTATGTCAAAAACAACTATTCAAAACTGTATCGTAATTTATATTTGGTAATAAATTGAAACCGATGTATTATAAATACCAGTTTACGCGTTATTTATTTTATAAAATAGCCAATTTAATGTATGAAGTAAATTAAAGATTCCTTAATTGTATTGTATAAAAAACATGTATTAAAAGTTGAAAAGTAAAAAAAAGTAAAGATACCTTTTTTCTTATTAGGATTATTTTTTATTTTAATGGTTAGTTTGTCAAGAATATACATTTATTCAATTTATGGGAGTGGTGGCTATTTGCCATTTCAGTAAATTAGTTTTTTGGTTGGCATACAATGTTGACGTTAATATTCATTTATATTTAAATGCAATTTCGAAATAGGATTTTGTACTCAATATAATGAAATTATATACGTGTCTGTTAAGTTTTAAAACTTACTTTTCTGATTTTCATAAATGATCAGGCCCATTACAAACAATTTAAAATATAAACCATTAAAATAAAATATTTCTAATGACTACTATGTGCTTCTTTTGAATTATCTTTCGTTTTATATTCATCACTTTGAGCTCCCTTTCTATTTGAAGTTTGTTTCTATATTTAGATGTTAAAGCAGCTCCAGCAGAAAAAACTATTTCTCAAACGTAAGAAGTAGGGAAAGGTAACTGTATCCGAACCTCTTTTGATTTAATAAGATAATAATTGCAAGAGAGTTCAGTCTACAAATTATATTCTTTTTATCTTATATTATACAGAGGGCGCAAAATTATTAAAAGAAAAATTTGTGCGCCAAATATGACAGATTGATAACCTCTACACTAAAGTATTTTTTATGATAAAAAACATGTAGTTTTGAATGTCGATAGAATTCGCTAAGTATCGTATGATGAGTTTTGAATCCATTTAGTACAGAGTTTCCGCGGTATACATTTATATTAATTATAATGAACATAATTATGCACATGGCTGTTTTTTACATAACATCAAATATATTGTGAATAAGTGAATGTTATTAAGCTTTATAAAATTATATTCGATGGACCGCGAGCATTATCAACATTTGACCATTAAATTATAATAATCATTCATTGATATTCAATCGTCAGATCAACTGTAAATATGATTCGAATTGTTTCTCAATGCTCATATGATTCGAAATTGCTGCGAAATGGGTTGATTAATAGTTTCCCGAATGCAAATGCAAAATACACGCAAATAGGGGGGGAAACGAGGATATTATAATTAGGATTATTTAATTAGTGAGCGCGGCACGAACATGCGTAGGCATCTGTACAACATGCATGTGCTTTTATAATGGAAACCGCCGGGATTTCGGTTCTTCAAATGTTGCTGTTTATTTTATAATGGATTAATTCCGAGCCGACCACCGTATTGCATCAATATTGTTAATATTGATTGCAATTATATTATTTTGTAAACCTGCAATGGATTAGCGGTAAACCGCTGCACGGCAGGAGCATCAATATTAGGTCCCTATATATTCCGGTTACGTCAACATGTCTTTGATGTTCTCTGTTTAACCTCTAACGATAAACATCTACGACTTTAGGAAACTGAGTTTACATTAATCATCAATATATAATTCATTGAGAATAACATCATAATAAGATAATAATAAGTAAAAGTTTAAATATAAAATTAAATGATTTTCTTAACCTTTAGTGTGTTTTTTTAATTGCAGTCTATAATTATATAAGGGGAGTTTTATTGAACGGGAGAACCGCAAATAACACTTCGGAAGGGCGAAACGCAGTTACCCAGAGTTTTAAAGATCAAAGATGGGATTTTATTGATCCTTGTTCGTCATGCTCCTTCCACATGTAACTTTAATCAAAAGTTTAATTAACAGTCTCGGAAATATAATCCGGACTAATTTAAAATATGAAAAATCTTGAGTAGCAGAAACTTCCAGAATCTATATAATATTTGAAAGTAGGCAAAAGGAGCTGAAAATAAAATGAAATTTTGTGACAAAAGTTGCTATTAGGTATTAGTTTCAACTCTCTTATTACATTAACAATTAAACAAAAACTTTTAAATATATATTTTCTATGTATGTTAAAAATAAAATAACTCTGCAATGGATACTCAAAAAATTGTGTTTTTTATGTATTTTTTTAAATTTTGTATTCTGTGTGAAAGCTATTAAAGTTCTAATTCTACTTATAATAATATTTATTGCAAAAATAAAAAAATTCAAAATAAAACCTTAATACAATATAAAATGTCTATTGCATGGTATTTTTAAGAATTTTATTTTATTAAGATAAAATGATATTTTGATCAAAGTTGACAAATAATTAAAACTTTGTGTTGTATTATTATAATTTGCTATATTGAGAAGTTGCTATCTTTGGAAATTAGTTTACAGAATCTACTATAGATTGCTCTTTATAATACAGGGCGGAGTGTTTATTTTTATTAAACCCGTGGTCAAAAGCCAACAATGAAAAAGGGTCTATATATCATATGTATTAATTGTTATAATAGTTTTCATATGTATAAATATATATTGATATGTATTTGTGTTCATTGGTTATCGAAAAGTAATTGTTTGCAGTAATATTTTTTTTAATTTTATATAAATGTATTAATTATAGATAGTTGTATTTACCTGTAATAATCCATATTTATATTCGATGTCCAGGAATTTGTATTCCCTTGCGTGGGTAGGCTTTGGGCTTTGTGGTACACCTGAGTTTAGAGGCGCTCCACCATGGATGCTAGTGACTTCCTGCTGATGGAATAGAACGTTGGCTAAACTGGCGTAAACTTGTTCCGTTGCGAAAGCCAAAGTCTCCGAACATTCTTCTATCGAATGCAGAACCTGCAGAATTTTTGGATGCCTGTATCTCTCTAACTGCTTCACGGAGGTCCTCAAAATCTCAGTAACGGTCTCCTTTCGTTTGGGTTTATGCAATTTCTCCGCACAGCGTTTTTCAAATAGAAAAACAGAACATTCCTAGAAAAAAAGACAAAATACATGTTAGTTAACTAGTCCGGTCTTCAAAATTTAGATTCAGCAAAGTAAGTTCAGTAAGTTGTAATAAATAGTACCCAAAGTGATCTTTTTTTCATTATACAGTGAAGTTTCAAACAGTGAAAGCTTTAGCGGAACCGATCGAGATACAAATACAAGGTGTGGCAGAAATAATTCCCATATCACGGTTTTTCGTAAGGAATCATTCTTTTGTAATACCATTTGGACGATATATTTTTTAAAGCTTAATGTAAAAAAAAACTTTTAAATCTACATTTGGGAAATAAAATGTTTTTGATGAAACATCGTACCATTTTTTTTTTCAATCCCCATTGAAATGTGGGAGGTATTTCTGCCGCATCCTGTATAAAAAGTCACAAAGACTGTAAATGAGAGGAGTGGGATGTACACAAAAAATATTGAAATGTGTACTATTTAGAACAGATTTGCTAATAATTCATTAAATGATATAATTAGTAATATTAGTTGTTTTATGATGATGTCTGGCATTGTATATTGTTACTTAATGTTTGTCAACCCGACACTAAAACGGCCATCCGATGTACATTTTATATTTTTATCATGGGAACAGATTACCCGTACTATACGAGATTTTGATGTAGATTAATCTAGATGTGTTATCCATATAAAGTAGTGTAATGCATTTAATTTCTATTTCTAAATATATATGGAATAATACACTATGTATGAATACAAAATATGAAATATAATGGATACAACTCAAATATATTCAAAAAGTTATAACAAAATGTGTGTTGTAATAATCTAAAGTTATGTATAAATACATATGTGTTTTCGTATGAATAATATATATTATATTGATTATAAAATAATACATTAAAATTTTATACCTTTCTTATTATTTCCTGTTATCTAAAACGCTATAATTGATGAATTGTATAATAATTTGAACAATATAGTAAATATAAAATTATAAATCTCATGCATATCTACAACTTCAAATATAATTTTAATTTTACTTTATGTAAGATCTCATGGAGTATTTTTAATAAATATACGAAACTGAATATTTTACAATTAAAATATTATTCAATTTTTATTATTTACTTCAATTCAATTTACTTCCAAATAGAATCAATTTAAGCTTAATTTAATATTTAAATATTTGTAATACTTCTATTATTTTTAAATGTTTACGTTTATCATATTATTCATACTAGAACTAATGTTTGTTGTGAACAGTTACAAAATCAGAAAATTATACATTTTCATATATTTATCGAAATTTTTATTTAGATATATAAATAATTATAAATTGAGTAGAAATAATGCGGTCACTAGCCTATTGTATATAGGTGTATGGTTTATTAACAAATATTGTAGTTTGGGTTTTTCGTTAAGCGAAACTTAGTTTACAGACATAAAATACAATGAGTAGAACCTATCCCTTTGTAAAGAAAATGTAAATCTGTTTTCGAATAAACAAAAGGTTATACAGTCAACTTATATACAAAGTGAAAATACATTTCAAAGTATCTTAGTGACTCCTTCAAGAATTCTTTCTTTTCAATTGTGTTTTAATATTATAGTTTTTCCACGTTTTAAAAACCTTAAATTGAATTATTTAACAACAAAATGGAGCTTTAAATGGTTTAATATTACTTCGTTATTAGATGTAACGTTAACTGAGTAATTATATAGAAAATATTTTATTATTTATAAAAAAAATTGGCGGCCAATATTATGCTATTTTGTTGAGTTTGTAGTATATTTATATGTGTTGCAATAAATGTTATTATTTCAAAAAAAAAATATGATCGTGATACATAGAATATTTCAAACTGTGTACATCAAGTCTAACATTTTTACGTAAAACGAAATTGCGGATTGTATCTAAGGACCAACCTGATGTACATAAAAAGAAATCAATAATGTATGCTTATGTGTGTATATATATATAGTATATTGGGGAGAGGTTGGCAAAAATTGAGGGAAGCGCGTGTAAGTACTGAAATATAATCAGAGAAAGCCGTGGGGTTAAATAAAATAATTCCGTTAGCAACAGTTAACCCGATGACAGCAACATTCACGTAATTATTTAGTTCAGCTCAAATAAATACGTACGCCTCTGTAATACGTACAGTAGTTATGAGAGTTCCAAATACAAATAATAAACAATCGCTATAGAAACACGGTGCGTTGAATTATTTTAAAATGAAAACAACTGAAATGGGTCATGCGACAGTGTGTAAACATACACGTTTTTTATAATTCATGTGTGTGTATTAAAATAATAAAAAAAAACAAAATAAAAGTGCATTGTATATTTTATTTTTGCTGAATCCTTGGACCAATACATGTTGGTTTGAGTACATGATGAACAATATTATCCAACGGTGCGCTTGCAAGGTAATAAATTGAAACGACGTTCAGAGAAAAAGAAAAATACGTTGAGGAAAATTGTCAAGGGCCCTCGGGGATTAATAAATTGGCGATAAGTATCTTCTCGTGGAAAATTGTAGTTTTGTTCACATTTATTAAGGCATGACATTTTGATCATATAGGAAATGTTTATATAGAATAACAAAACTATTTTTAATTTATATGAATGATTTTTTTTTTCAAATTCTCTGTTTTAGTAAAATATTATCCCAGTTGTCATCAGCCTCTTCTTGTATTAATAATTATTGAATATCTTCAGTATTAATATCGTTTTAATATGTAGGGTTGTCCGGAGAGTTTTTCACAAAATACTATTGGAGATGCCGATGTCTTTAGAAAAAAGATCAAATGATTCGTGTCGATTTAGTACCCTCGAGAAGATGGAAGAAATAATAGTGTTTTTAGACTTTGATACTTTTCTATAACTGTAAATAAAGCAATAACTAAGATATATTTTGCTTACTGAAAAGTTACTTTAGATAAATTAACTTTGTACACGACGCGCAAATGAACAGAAATATTAAAAATATCAAAAACAACTATCGAAGAACGTTTTTAAAGCTTGCTTAAATAAACCGTAAAGATATATGTTTTTTGCACAGTTGAACGGACAAAAATCACGACAATATCAGCCTTTGTTTATCTTTTACTACTCAACAAAAATTGTTGGAGTCTCATAGAGTTTTATTTGTCCACCCGTAGTATTCACCAGTGGAAATCGGAAAGTGCATTGTCCGGGTCTTTGCAAAATTCCATTAACTGCAAGAACTATTAATTTTTAGTCGACATAAAAAAATGATCTGAAGAATTTTTTTGACGAAAAACCTAATAAATTCTGGATGAATGTAATGTTATGATCATATGCATAGATAATTATAAAATTATATATCTATAAATAAAAGTTTGTATTTTTAATTTTCGTGAAAAATCGGCACGAACTTTCAGGACAACCTAATAATTAATTTGTTTTAACCTAATTCCTATTTCAATTTATTAAATTTCTGCCACTATATTTACTTCATATTCCTGTTTGATGATTTTCTTCAGGACTGAAATTCCTTGTACAGTACAGGTAATCGGTTTTGGACTGTTTGAAATTGAGGAACTAAATAGTTACAAAAAATAAACATCAGAAAGAGAAGAATAATTTTGTGAAGTAATTGTTTTGAATTTATTTTTATTTTTTTTTTGAAATTAATAGTAAATCGATTTGAAATTTTTCAAGCGGTTTTAATGTCCTCGATTACTATGAATTTTAACAGTCTAGGATATTGGCGTAACCTATTTTCGTAGCACATCTTATTATTGCTGCATATAAGACTATACTTTTATTGTGTTTTCATTTATTAAATATTCTGTATTTATACAATTAATTTTGAAATACTTTAATAATGCAATGCGTACAGACTATATATTAATATTCATGCGACGTCAGTTGCCCCTTGAAAATTCTTATTAATTATAAAAAATACTATCAATTTGTTTGCTATTTTCGTTAATAATTAAAAAAATAATAATAGAAATGCTTGATGACTATAATATATATTTATTTAACTTCAAAACAATAACATCATTAAATCACAAACTCATCCACCAAGAAAATAATCTTCAATCGTAATTGACCCATAAAACTCAAGCACCTTGTTAGACTTAAATAATTCTTTGAGAAATTAATTTATTGTAGGTACTTTTCTCCTTTTCATCTCTACTCAGATTCGCTTTAAGTATGTTTTCAAACGCCAGTTCAGAACTTTTTTTTAGACTTCTACATCATAATCCTCCCAAATTTTTATACTTCCTTGCGTCCACTTTTCTTATTCTTTCCCTTTCGTGTCTGCTTCCATTGCTCGGGCTTTCCAGCTAATTGCTCAACTAATTGATACCTTGATAAATTGCTCACTGTGTTTGAAACATTACAAACCGAAATAAGTGCTTTTTAACTTTTTTTTGTACGTAATTTCGAACTTTCGGGTTTGTCCCAGTTACTTAATGTACTTCTTACTGCAATTGTACGTGAGAAACTTAAAACAAACTTTGCAATCGTCGGAGAATCAAAGTAAGACATTTGCGTTCATAGAATAAATCATTATTTTAAAGTAAGTTTAGTTTACTTTCAAAGTAGTAATTAACTAAAAAAAACTTAATAAAACATAAAAAATACTAGAATAGAAATTTAAATGTAAAATAACAATATTTATTTATAACATTTACTGACAAAAATACACTTCAACCAGTTTTTACACTGTGGATTGCTTCCTGAATAATGCACTTAAAAATGTATACATTATATATGAAAATTCAGAAGATTGATACCGAAAAAAGTATAATTAATCAAAAAAAAAATGTAATGCACTATGATATCAATTTAAGTTTAAACTAAGTACCTTTCTTAAGGATTATACATGAAAATGCAAGAAAATAGTTTTCAAATTTTCTGGATTATTTAAGTTAATTTTTTTTATTAAAATGTTCGTGTAAAAGAAGACTTTTCGTCATAATTATTCCTAGCTGATTAGAAGGAACAGAGAGGTTTATACAAATAGCGACTTTCTAAAAAA